TTGGCAAAAAACAACATTCCAGTGATGGAACATCCACCGTATTCTCCGGACCTAGCACCGTGCGACTTTTTTCTCTTCCCAAAAATCAAGTCTGCGCTGAAAGGGACCAGGTTCGAGTCCGTGGATGCAGTGAAAGCAAAAGCGACGCAACTCTTGAAGAGCATAACACAAGATGACCTGCAGCACTGCTTCCAACAGTGGAAAATTCGCATGGAGCGGTGTAGGGATCGGGGAGGGGACTACATTGAAGGGGATAACATTTCGACTGTCTGATTTTTTTTTAATAAAGGGTTAGAGCATGAATCCGGTTTCTTTATTGCCACACCTTGTATATACGCTAAGTAAATATTCAAAACTCTAATCTAGAGTACTACAGAACACGATATCCAGTTTCAGAAAACCAGGAAAGAGCATCATAAATATAACTCCAATATGAAAAGCTTACTAATACTGAGGGGCACATGGTAGTGTAGTTGGTTGAGGCACTATGCTACAAACCAGAAGGTCACGGGTTCGAGTCCCAATGAGGTGGAGTTTTTCAATTGACCTAATCCTTCCAGCTGCACTATGGCCCTGGGGTCGACTCAACCTCTTAACAGAAATGAGTACCAGGAATCTTCCTGGGGGTTAAGGCCAGCTGACACATAAGGCTGACAACCTTACTGTCATCTGTAAGGCAATTGTCTATAGAGAAAATGTGGGACCCTCAACATCTCACAACCCTATGGGTCTTCATAGCCTGTCACAGGGATGGCTTTGGCTTTACTAGTACTGAACAACAAATAAGAATACGATCAGCAAGTCCACCAAAGAACATCAAAAAGTGTTACGTAGACACACATAGAAACTACTGTGAAAGCATATAACACAACTACATCCTCACAATATATTCATTTTTTTTCAGGCAAACCACCAAACACAAGACAGCACACAGCCATTGGCACCAACAATGTATACTTGCACAACACCATCATTTATACCAATGGATTAAAAATTCTAAATACCTCAATTCACTAAAAAAAAAAAAAAAAACACATGTGCTACCATTAGAACCAACAATGCACACTTGTATAACACCTATGTCCCCATAAAGGGCAAAAAGACTGAAAGCACACTATATATACTACTCCAGTCTACCTTAAAAACACCCTGTATATAATAAGATAATTTTTAGAATGCAACAGTAATTTTAAATATGCTTTACTAATTTTGGGCAAGTATTTCATTATATTTAAACATTTAATTCTATATAAAAACATTTACATGCAAAAACTGCTAACAAGAGATCCATTGCAACACGCTGTCTGCTAATGAACACGGACGCATTTTGTTGCTTATAAACGCCTTATGATGGTCGTAAATGATAGAAACATGTAGAAAAATAACTTCTTAATGAACTAACTGATTTATTGACAATTTGAGTCTATCAGTTATTTATCAGAAGTATAAAATTGTTGTGATCAACAGATGTACTTACATAGCAGTGACATACAAAACAGGATGCAAAACATACGAATGAAGAAGATGGTACATGTATTCCTTAATTTGTGTGGTAGTTGTGTTCCAAAAAAATGTTGAACAGTGAATTCGAGCATTATTTTTCTTTCTGGCCTTGCATTCCTCCTCCACAAACCCACACAATTATCTATTCACCCTTCTCCCCATCCCTCTCGATAGGTCAACAGTTTATACGTATTAATGTGAGCATTATTACTTGAAATCAGTCTACATTAGTTGATGACATTAAAATGAAATCACATTTTTCAAACTCTCTCATGAGGAGTATCTGTATCTACAAGATGAATCCCTCAGAAGCTCCAACCAACACTGTAACTGATTTTCTGTAAAAATGGAAAATATATGATAAAATAATTCAAAGCTACATAACTATGTCACTGAACTGATTGCTACTCATAGTTTTCATAAGCATAAGAATCATGTATGGGAAGTGTAAGTCCTCAGACCTTAAAATTCAAACAGAAGGAGATAAGGGAAGGCCCAAACTGAATATAATGTGCAGAAGAAGTGTCTGGTCACAGCAAGAAAAAGTCTCAAGAAAACTGGATACAGTCCATATTGCAACCCAGACATACTACTCTACATTTATAACCTGACATCTAACTGTGATAAATAAATATCACACACAGTGACATTTGGGATGAAACCTAACAACCTGCTCAAACACACTAATGCTGTATCCTGTCATTCCAATATTTTAACTTCAACATGAAGTGTAGATCCAAGAAATTTACCACTGGAGCTACAGAACCAGTAACACACTGGCAACACTTAAAACTAGCATCTAAAACTCAAATGACCATTTTCTTGAACACAAACAGCAGTCTCACATTTTCACAAGCAAACATGAAAGGTTCTACTAACAATACTCTCAGACTTCAACAACGCTAACAAGCACCATACAGCTCGCAATTAACATCCTTCATTGCTATTTACACCATAATCTCTTTATGTAAAATCAACAACTTGCTTATCTAGTTTCCCAAATTTGGCACTCCCAAAAATAGGTACACATCTCCCTTAATGCAAATTGAGTTCTTACCTTCCGACTTCTAGCCACGGTCTCAGAACAAACCATCGGCGCCACCACAGCCAAACTGTATAGCCTGTAGAGGAAGTCACGTTAACGCTTAATTCGTGTCGCTTATAATTGAGTCACATCTTCATAACCTTCATAATAGTCACAGTCTGACAATACGTCACTTTCAGCAATCCAAACCCATATGTTAATTTTGTTTATAAAGATTGGTAGCATTGCAACGTACATTGCCTGCTACTGCTATCACCAGATAGCGTTGAATTTGAACTAGGAAGGCTATATTGTTATGAATTCTAATAGTAACCAGGGGTTTGGCTTCGTAATATGGCGTCGTTGAAATATACGCACGCTGTTGTGTGCCGCATCCCGTTGTCATTTCGGACGAGAGGAGAAATAGAGCTTGAGGAAGCGAAACGTCAGCACGAAGCGTACGTTCGACTTCTGCGAGAACTTGGCTTGGATGTGATAGAACTTCCCCCAGACGAATCGTTACCAGAGTGTGTTTTTGTGGAAGATACTGCGGTATTGTGTAATGGGATTGCATTAATTACTAGGCCTGGGTCGCCGACACGTACTAAAGAGGTGGGTAATAGTATTCAGGAATATGAATAATGATGAGTTGGTTGTTGATTGTGCGCGCCTGGGCGTTACTAGTTTTGCATCTCCAATTTAGGTCACTGAGCACAAACAATTGCACGATTTGCACGGTTTCTTATACAGTCTGGTATGAAAATTAGTTCAACCGTTTTCATAATTTTACAATTGAATAGCCCTGACATATTTTCAGAGTGGATAGGGTGTGTGAGGTCATCTCGAGTTTCTAACCATGGAACATGATGTCATTCTTTGGAATGGAGTAGATGTCACGTTTGTTTTGCTTTACTTTTGCTGCAAGCTTCATGTTTCTGCCTGGCTGTTGACGTTAAAATATCTTACTGAAAAGTTATATATTCAGATTAAATGAATATGCAGAACTTATGTAACTGGTAGGATTATGTGTATGCTCATAATTGAAGTACTGTTACACATGTATTTACAGAGATACTGGAATGGTTTATTAATGCTGAATGAAGTTTGAAGATGAGTATTGTATATGTTCATATGATTTCAGGTGGAAACAATTAGAGCTGTCTTGAAGAAAGAACTAGATCTGCCTATTGTTGAAATCGGTGATGAGTCTGCTAAGTTGGATGGTGGTGATGTCCTCTTTACAGGTACTGTACTGGATTTTTCCTCATGATGTGTAACTTCCCAGGCCTTTATGCAAGGCAAAAAATGGAATACTCTGTGTGGTGGTTGTGTGCATCTGTGATTAGCACAAGCGACACTCTTTGATGAATGGATTGTAGTTGGATTTTATATTAACTATAGATAACCCCTTGTGGTCCAGTTTTATTTTTTACTATATGTAATCTTATAAGGTCCAGTTATTTTATGCCAGTGTTGCCAACAGTGTACATTGTGCCATGAATGCCTAAAAGATGATGACAGAGAGCACAGATTACTTGAAAGGTGTGGGCTAAATTGATCTGGCTCAAGATGTGGTGCGGTGGTGGGCTTTTGTGAAAGCAATGTTGAACCTATGGGTTCCATAACATCATTTCTTGCCCACCTGAAGACCCTGTACTGTAGGATTTTTTTAATTATGCTGGAAGTTGGTGGGATTGAGTTTGGTGCTGCAGCATCACATGAGCCTGTTATGCCAGCACAGGATGATGGATGCATATGGAACACCAGCAAGGAAAACTGAAGTGCTCAGAGAGGAACCTGCCCATAAATTCCACGTGAACTGAAATGGGATTAAGCCCGGGCCTTCATTGTCAGAAGCTGGTGACTGAGTGGCTGAACTGCGACATGAGCCATATCATTGGATTAATTGCTTGATGGCTGAAATTTTTTTCCCCCCTGCCCTCAGGTCGGGAGTTCTTTGTGGGTCTGTCAGAGTGGACAAATGAGGCTGGAGCACGGGCAGTGGCTGCTGCATTCCCAGACTTCCCATGCACTCCGGTCAAGGTGAGGCCTTGTGTAGACCCTGATGAGGGCCTCAACCTAGACATGATCCAGGTGAGAGGGGAACTGCTAGCATGCTTCCTCCTTTTCATTCCCCACACAGCTCCAGTAGCTCTCGATAAATGTTTAGAGAAGCGTGTCTCAGCTGAACTTATTGTACCCAAGTACTGAATGGCTGTTGCACACCTCCCTTCTCCCAGCACACGAGAAATATGTGGGCAGCCCAGAGAACTTTCTGAAGATGCAGTCCAAGCAGCTGTGCTACGTTCTGTGTCCCATTGATGGTTAGCTGCTTTAGGTGACTTCACTGTTTGCTGTTTCCTTCATACAGTCATGACAGTCAGTCTGTAATTAAATACTGAATGTTAATCTTTTGGGTTCTCTAGTTGCTGTATTCCGCCCACCGCTATACACTTCACTTGCAGACTGAATTTATTGATGACAATATTATTATTTTTTCAGTCTTATTTTTGTAATATTTGTCTTATGTTGAGGTGTCTCTGTATTTTCTTCACATTGTCATATTGCAGTCAATTATTAGCACTGTTAGTACAGCATGTTCTAATCAACTTGTAACCATCATCAGGTACTACCGTGAACATATAACATTAAACAAAAATTGTCAGAATAAGACTGAAAAATATATTATTAGTTAATCAGTGCAACAGGATGCTCAAATATATTATTATTGATGAAGAAGACTGTATTCTGGGATGTGACACCTCATCGCCTGTTAGAAAAATACCAATGTTTCAGACGTACCTTCTTCATCCATCTCTCACTCTGAAAATTGAAGCGGCAGGTTCCTGGGAAATGTACCTTCCTACCAGATCACATGGTGTCACATCTCAGAAGACAGTAGTCTTTTTTGCCACTATGTGAACCTCTGATGTCACATGAACCTATTTTTAGGCGTATCAAAGTCTTAGATGTTTTGATCGGAAGAAGAAAAACATCAGCATCACAATGACTGTCAGTACTAGCTATAGGCTGGTTAACTAAGGAATTAGGGTTTGAGCAAAGGCAGAGATTTCTGTGTTCTTGATGGCATCGAGACCAGATGTGGGGCTCACACCCGCCTTCTATCCTTTGAGTACCAGGGGCTCCATAGGGGTCAAGCAGCTGTCCACTCACCTCATAGTGCTGAGGCTCAGAATATGTGGAGCTATGCCTCTGTTTCTGCATATGTCTTCTTGGAATGTTGTATAATTAAGTAGAGAGACAGCATCACCTTTATGTTTGTGTGGTGCTGTTGCAGGTGGCAGAATCGACACATCTGAAGGCACTGGTTTCAATGGCAGGTCCTGATGTTATCTGTGTGGGTGCAGGAAAGACAGCACAGGAGGTGCTCAAGGTGTGTGGGAAATAATTATGTGAATCTGGTGTTATATACCTGTGTGTGTTTGTAAACATTCTGTTCTTGTGCAGCGCATTGAACGTGAGGCCACGTTTAGTTATCAGACCCTCACAGTACCAGAAGACATAGCGGCTAATGTCCTGTACGTAAACGGAACTCTCATCCACCGATCTGTCGATGAAATTCCAGAATCTTGCAAGGTGAGATGCTTCTGTTGTGTATGTGTGAGTGTGTAGAAGTAAATGTAAGTAATATTAATGAATACACTCAGTAGAGATTACATGCAGAGGCAACTGTACCTCTGAAAAAAGCTAAAAACATTATCCCTGTAACAGGCCGTGGAAGCCTGTAGGGTTGTGATATGTCAAGGCTTCCACATTTTCTAGACAATCGGCTCACAGATGGCGGTGAGGCTGTCAGCCTTACACACCAGCTGCCCTTTACCCCCTGGAATATTCCTGGTACTTCTCAGTCAACCCCAGGGCCATATTGCAGCTAGAGGGATTAGGTCAGTTGACGAATCCACAGACCTCATAAGGAATTTAACCCACGACCTTCCAGCTTGTAGCATAGTTCATCAACCAACTGTACCTCTTTGTCTACCTTAATGATTGTCAGTAGATTGTAAAGCTTCATTATTGCACATGCGATGGAGCTTATGCGTTTGGACTTTATGCAGGTGTTTGCTGAGCGTGTTGACTTCGCCCGGCGGACATTGAACATGTCTGAGCTTGCCAAAGCAGGCAGTGGACTGACATCATGCTGTCTGCTCTTCCGTCACACGAGGCACATACGCAGCCTGTAAGGCATCTGTCAAGTGGTTTGCCAGCCATCATTTTGCTTCTCATAGTAACAGTGTTGCTGGAAACAAGACTTCAGATGAACCCATCTTTACTCCATGCTAGGGGTTGCTACCCTCCTTCATAGCCACACAATTGTGGTTATTTGAATCTCTTTTACTCGCTTTGTAAAACTTTTTATTTTATTTTATTTTTTTTTTTTGTTTTTGTGATATCAGTACTCGTCTCTTTGTATCAGGTTTGAAGTTTTTGTGGCAGCAAGTATTATTATGGTCATCTGGGATGTGATGCCGTGTAGTCAGGTAGAGGGTTGCTAACATTTCGAAGGAGCCTGCTGCTTCCATTGTCCTATCAGTTGCCATCAGGATCAAAGGCCCTGGACCTCAATGTAGGGAAGACATCTGCAGATATCCAAGCTGGCAAGTGAAGCGTCTTTAGAAGAGAGTGAATGCTTAGCATCAGTTTTCAGTGTAGACAAAGTCTGTAATGCAGATCTTAATATGTGTTTGAATCAGAAGACCCGTAGAGATGATGAAATTTAGACAAAATCTGAAATTCTATTCAAACAGCCGTAGTAATGGCCTGCAGGAGAGCTAGGTATAAATATCCCCAGCTTGGCATAGAATGCCAAGTTTATAAAGCGAGTCCATACATGAGATGGGGCATCCTGTATCTCTCAGGCAGGTTCTAATTCATCTGTTCACCGTGACTTGACTTCTCATAAATGCAAGTCCCATAAATACGCACAGGGAAATGATCTTACAGTCTAGTTTATTATCTCATTCTGAGCTCCTTGCACGTTGAATGTTTTGGATATGTCTTTCAGACCCTGCTTTTGGGCGCACAAACCCATCATGTGTTGTAAAATGTTCTTTGCTTTTTCAGATCAGGTGTTACCCCCCCCCCACAAAAAAAAAAAAAAAAAAAAAAAGGGAATTCCTTCAATCTCTGACCTAAGACAAGACCATTTGGCCCCGTTTTGTTGACTGGTGGGATGTTACTGGAAAGGATGCATATGTGGGATCTTACACCATCTTCAGGGTAGAAGATGCAGCACGTTCCTTTGAAACACTGGCACCCATTTATCATGCTACGTGATGGCACAGCTGAGAAGACTGCAATCTTAACATGTTTTCTTGCTGAGATGTGTTTGCTTCTTGCTTCATGAGGATTTATTTAATATTATTAGTTCATGTGAGGACTCAGATTTGTTTTGAATTTCAGGGGTGCATGAAATTCCTGACATGACCCTTAATACTCTGCGTCCAGCTTATCTCCTTGAGGTCAGACTTGTGCTGGCCGCAGAATGAACATGACAGCAGCGCTGTATCACCAGGGCAAGTTTTGAAATGGCTGGCATATGAATTAGCACACAGAAAGGCAGAGATGAGATACATACTTGTATTTACATATTTATGTACAGTATACTGGGACTGTTGTGTCTCTAGATGGCAGCTGGGTCAGTCGCTATAGGAAGTTAAACCATAAGTAGCCATGTTATAGGTGAGACAGCTGTCTTCTCACTGTGGAAGCCTGGGTTCAATCCCAGGGTAGTCCATGTTTTGGACAGAATGGCACTGGAGTAGTTTTTGCTCTATCATTTGGGGCTGATACAGGAAGCCCATTTGAGACCACAGTACCAAAAGACTTCAGTTTCACCCCATTCCTTGAAATAAACAAGACAAAATAAAGGTAGTCAGTATAGTGACTGCACACCAGGCTGGGCAACAACTGTGGAGCATGGATTTTTCTTTGTGTCTAAACTGGCTCTAGAGCTTACCCAGCCTCTTGTCCAGCGGATACTAGGCTTCTTTCCTTAGGGGCTGTAGTGATGAAGATGTGAAGCTGACCGATTACTGCTGGTGCCAAGGGGTGGAACGAAGTCCCTTGTACTGCAGCCACTTCTGGCCTATTGTATCAGCCCCAGATGATAGGTGAGAGTGATTGTGGAACAGTTGGTGGAATGAGGATTGGCAGGGGAAACCGAAGTACTCGGAGAAAACCTGCCCCAGCGCCACTTTGTCCACCACAAATCCCACTTGACCAGACCCGGGATCGAATCCAGGCCACTGCAGTGGAAAGCCAGTGACTAGCCCCTTGAGCTATGGCGCAGCCCTTTACCTTTATCTTAATTTTATGTTAAATAGTTTGAGATAAAATGTGGGGCACTTCAAACACAGTAAAACTTTACAGGTCTAATGGAGCCAGGCATAAATAATTTGTTGTAACAACATGTCGCAGGTGTGGGAGTACTGCATCATACTTTCAAATTCCATTACTCTTTTTGTTGACTACATATAAGCAAGATCACTATGGGCATGCGACCAACCAATCTGGGCCAATCAGTAACACTTAACGATGTGTGTTTGGGAGATGCCTGGTTTGAATCCTGGACAGTACACCAGTTCTCCAGACTGATGACTTACATAGCTGCACTTGTTGTGGTTTTTCTCAATTCATCCAGGCAAATGCTGAGATAGTGCCTCAAATTAAAGCACAACTGTATCTTTCCACATCCTTTCAGATTCACATATTTCCCTGCCATTTAATGCTGTTTTGTCTGAGATACTGACAGGGCTAGTAAATAAACCACACAGAAACAAACTATGGGGATGTGACCATTGCAAAAGAATGAATCTGAGAGCAGAAGGAGTGTAAATTAGTCATTTTAAAACACTTAACTCTTTAGGAGTATCTGTAGGTGATGTAATAATGCTTTCAGTGTGAATAATGTTCTTTTTGTACATATATAAACATGATTTTTTTTATATTGATATTTAATTGTAATATGTTTTATTGAAAACGGGCTCAGAAACACTGTGGAACAAATCACAATGCTCATGTTGCACTGGCTTCAGGAATTGCAGTGAAATCTCTGTTTAACGAATCTCTGGGGCAATTGCTTCTCTTAGCACTAAATCAAAAGTTTTCACTAAAATGGGGGGTTATGCAAAATTACATCAAGAAACTTTTGATCCTACATGACCATGTATATAAGTGTGATAATATAATGTCTTTTCATAATTGTTTCTACTTAAATAAATATAGTTATATAATATGAAACAAATTTCAGAAATAATTAATGACAAATGAAGTAAATGCTCAAAAGAACCTCGGTTGAGAATTCGGGCAGCTGTGGTCAAGTACATACTCAGCTTTGCCGAAGATTGTGGTTATGTGCTAAGAATTTCCAGCAGGGAGAAAATGTGAATACTCTTGTTCTAACCACAGTAGCACTAAATTCAAGTACAAGTTATGGAAGGCTGAAAATTCATTACTGTATTAAGAAATTGTGGGTTATTTACTAAATCCAGGAAAATAATACTATAATATGTTGGGCTGTGGCTGGAGCAAGAAGAAATATTCAGTACATGCTGGAATACTAAATTAGGATTTCACTGTACATATGCAGCTAATGGCTTGATATAATAATAATATAAAATTGCACTTTAATAATCTTGCCAACAAAAGCTTACGTTCTGGGGCCAGTGCTGGCTGTTGCAATGTATAAGCATGCATGATTTTTTGGTCACATTCTTCTCCCATGTGTCACGTGTTCATCCTACTGACGATGCTGGCCAATCGTAGGTGGTTGGTCACCACTGAATTTCACTGCCAGATGAGAAGATGGTCCAGTTTTATATTTGTGAGGTGGCTGGTTTGGGGCTTCTGCTACACAAATCACAAAGACGATTGCATTGTTAAGATGAAGACATCATTCCTTTAATGTCCTTACCAAGCAGTGAGGAAGGAAGAGGGTTCTTATTATATCTACAGTCAATATGCTCTTTTCTGTGTTGCGGAGAGCTACAAGACCCATAGACAACACTTGGAGCAAGTCAGGAACTTTGTGGATACCCCCAACTGGCCTAAGTGTATATAATACTCTTGCAAGTCCTGAATCTCATTCCAGCGATGCAGTAGCTTTGTAAACTTTTTTATTTTCTGGAAACTGTATATTGCTGTATATGAAATTGCATTTAATGCTATTCTGATGATGTGTATTAAATATAGATTCTTTATTGTGTTGAACTCTGGCTGCTACTTGGTATCTTATCCATTCCCTTACATCCATACATCTCAGAAGACATGAAGAAGCTGCAGCTGAATAATCAAGAGATGCCGCAGTCCCACCACAGTTTCATGTCCGCCATACGAGCCCTCAGCATTGTGTGCCTTAAAATAGCATTGGCTAACACACACATGTTGACCAGGCACATAGCCAAACTCTCTGCTTTGCAACTTAATCGTATTATGCACTATGACTGCTTCGTGCTTCTAACTTCGCACTAAGACGACTGGAACTGAAATGAAGATATAGCAGTAGCACATTATTGCACGTAAGTTTGGGTTTGTCATGTCACAAGCAGGTGGGGCCACAGATCATTAAATTATGGAAAGAGCACAGTGCAGAATCCTGTTGTCATTACTCAAGTCATTCCCTTATGTTAAAAGACTGTTGCTAGAAAAGTCCATATTAGACAGTACATTGAACCATTTCCATCGAATCACACAGAACCTGTATCCCCAAGGTACACTTTAGTAGTAGAGTAGGACCTTACTAATTTGGACTAACTGGGAGCGAACACTTGTCCAAATTATAGAATTGATACTGAAATTATGTTCAGGGAACATAAAATGGACTTCATGTGTCTTTTTAGGTAATACAACTTTATTTTAAATCTTAGGTTGTATATAAAAAAAGTTTGATGTCAGTCTTAAAAAACATTTTTAGGTGTCATACAAACTTCTTATTGAGACCATGTTTGATGTGAAGTCTATGGGTATCTACCATCATCTGTCCTAGCACTACATGTGGCAGATTGTGATCACTGTTCATGTCATCCAAATTAGTGAGGTTTTGCTGTATTTTCTTGTTCACATCTTAACTCAGCTGTGTATCCTATTAGCTGTAGGTACACTGAATTGCTATAACAGTACACATAAAGAGTGCATATGTGGTAGCATAGTTGGTTGAGGAACTATGCTACAAGCTGGAAGGTTGCGGATTCAAGCCCCGATAAGGTCATTGGATTTTTTCAATTTACCTAATTGTTCCAGCCGCACTATGGCCCTGGGGTCGACTCAGCCTCTAACAGAAATGAGTACCAGGAATATTCCTGAGGGTAAAGGGCAGCTGGTGTGTGAGGCTGACAACCTTGCCGCCGTCTATGAGCTAACTGTCTAGAAAATGTGGGAACATCAACATCTCACAACCCTATGGACCTCCACGGCCTGTTACAGGGATACCTTAATTTTTATTTACTTATCAATTTTAATTGTATGTTATAGATATTGTTTTGAGATCTCTAATAAACATGCAAATCTTACATTTCCTGACCACTCTTTTGCCTTTTTATGTGTGAGAGACAGGTGATGTAGCATCATTTGATAAGAACTGTCCAATAGAGACCCTCCTGTTGACCTTTGCTGCTGCAGCATTCACTTGATAAGATAAAAGACACAATAGACAGTAGTAGGTATGGTGGCATCTGTTTCTCACAGTTTGTGACAATGCTCAAGAAATCTGTCTGGGGTTTACTATACCCATTAAAGGACGCATTCCAGTCTATAGGTAAGGTTCTTCATTCATGTATCTTTTACAAGGGATAAAGAGAAATTTCATTATTGCTGATCTTGGTGTTTCTGGTATGAATCTGTGTGTTGTCATGAAATCTGATATCACTGTCCCCTGCTCTCATATGAAGTTCCAAATATTTATGATGTTATGGAGATACTAATATTGTGTAGGGTTATTTTATAAATGAAAACAGTTGTGTAAGCATGGTATATGCTGTATGTGGTTAAACAGGCAGACATATTAATATGAAGTGAAATACATAAAGGGAAATTGGTGGAGAGAACAATAGAAGAATGGAAAGTAGTTCCAAATTTTATCAGATTATAAAAGGAATATGAAACAGAGATTCTAAAACGAACTATAAAGCATATTTTAAGCCACAGAGAAGCATATTTATTGAGGGAGAAGTAAGGAGGGTTAGAGTTAGATTTTGAAAGTTTGCTAACAAGAGAGAAACTACTATAATGGCTTTGTTGTGTAACTAGAATGGATAGACTAAAGGTGTTAGTATTAAAATTTTAAAGGAAAGAGGTATAGGGACTGAAGCAGAACAAGATGGTAAACAGTGTTTCTGAAATGGCTTTCATTTATGTTTATGGGGGAGGGTATGTAGAGTTTCCTGTTCTGTTTGGATCCTGGATAGAGTGCTGCCCTCATCCATGCTCCAGAATTCCTACTCTGCTGGATCCTTAGGTAGGGAGCTATGTTCATATCCTAGTCCAGAATTCCTGCTCTGCTAGATCCTTAAGTAGGGAGCTATGGTCATACCCCATTCCAGAATTCGTACTCCTCTGGATATACTTAGGTAGGGAGCTACTCATAGCCTGGTCCAGAATTCCTACTCTGCTGGATCCTTAGGTAGGGAGCTGTGTTCATATCCTGGTCCGGAATTCCTGTTCTGCAAGGCCCCTAAGTAGAAAGCTACTCTCATATTCTGGTCCTGAATTCCTGCTCTACTGGGTCCCTGAACCAGGACATGAGAGTTATCTTCAACTTAAGGCCCAACAGAGTACAAATTCTTCATATCCTTTCCACCTGAAGATGGAAATAGAACCCATTTCTGAACATTGCAGTTTTATATAGGGAGCTAGGAAAATGCATAAAGCCCAGAAAAATAGCTTTAATATAGTGCCACAACATTTCAAAATAACTTTTCATGTAGTTTATATTTTGTGCTTAATTCAGCCTAACGTATTATCACTGTTGTACTCATAAAATGAGATTGCTGTAATCAAACTTAGATGAATTTGTTTTACAACCTGAATAAATTTAGTGAGATTTTACTTTAGACTGTAATGGCTGTAAATTATAATTTTGAGGCAAACTCTGCTAAAGTTTTCAGTGTTAGATTTCAACAGAACTTCTGCTTACTACATATACAGATAACCTCTTTTTTAAGCTGTTTGTTACACGGTTCCTTTGTGCAGAATTAAAGAAAGATGATTACACAGTGGGGAAGGATGCTTCTTGCAGTTATGTTATAAAAGATTCACAGCTGAGCAAGATAGATTATAATTTACTGAATAAGAAGCAGTTCAAAATCAGTAAGAAGAAGGACGCCATCTATCTGGAGGACGTCGGAGGAACATATGTCAACGAAAAAAAAGTTGGGCCAGGACAGAAAACTGTTCTGAATCATAATGACCGCATAGCTATTGCTAAGTCACATTTGAAAGGTATGCATATCTACTAACATTATAATTCACAAAGTACATTCTCTTCTAGATATAAATTTTCTTATTTGCAGGGCTGTCATGCAATTAAGACTTTTGCTGCTCATTGAGTTTGGAATCATATTACAGCTAGACCTGAGTATTATTCATCAGAGCTTGTCTTTATGATAATCATTTAATTTCAGTGCATACACTATTGTTCAATGTCTGGATGTAAGAGGAAAGAAGCAGCAGGAGACAGGATATGATGAGCAAGTGCATAGTTTGTTTTAATCATTGCCAAATATTATTAGGATGATAAAATGAAGGAGGATGAGGAGGGCACTGCATGTAGCATTCATATACAAGAGGTGAAATGCATACTTGGATTGGTCAGAAGACCCAAGGCCATTTGGAAGACCTAGGGGGTAGATGGGAGGATAACTAAAATTTATCTTAAGGAATGAGGGTGGAAGGGTTTGAACTGGATTCCTTTGGCCGAGAAGGGGATTGGCAGAGAGCTGTTGAGTGACAGAGAGACTATTATATTCTGAAGAAGGATTGTCCTCAATTTAGTTAGATGCTGATGTAGACTGGTACTATGCAGTGCCTCTCTGCTCTATTGCAAAATACATGTAACAGACAGGGTGGAAAACCAGTTCATAGCATGCAAGATTTGTGGTTCTTGTGGACATGACTATAAAAATTACTGTCTTCCATGAAATTACAATATGTAGTCTGATAGATCACTACCAACTCTTATATCCTGAAGATGGAAGTGGCAGGTTCCTCAGAAACATTTTTACTTATCTACCAAATTACATGGTGTCACATTCCAGAAAACAGTAACCTTCATAGTCATATCCGTGAGGACCTCAAATTCTTGTCATGTCCCAGTATATTACCATCTACCATATTACCATTACTAACTTTATATTATTACCATCTATTCCTAGATTTCTCTGTTGTGGCTTTCCAACTAATACATTTTATGTATTCTCTTTCCGGCCACTCATGCTAATGTACCTCACTGACCTCACCATTCTTCATCTCATTACCTGAAAAATATATGAAGTGAAGGGTGCAAATTGTGAGCCTCCACAGAACATGATAACATCCATTTTCTCCTTACCTCCTCTACTTTGTTCTGAACAACTCCTCAGAACTTTGTTCTCATGCGCCTTCATTCAGAATGAGAAAACCAGTTTCCAGCACCCTCAGGACTATATGTAATGATGGATTTTATGTTCCAACATTGGTGACTGTGAAGGGTACTGTCTGCTGGGATGTGACACCGTGTACTCCAATGCATATCCACTGATATTTCAGAGGAACATACTGCCTTCATCTTCATTGTCAAAAGCAAGTGCAGCAAGAACCAGAGAATGATCCAATAGTTTGAACATTTATCTACTTCATGACTTTCCAGAAATATAAATCATTATAAATCTGGTTCTACATGATATTGCTTACCCCCTTTTCCAATTTATGACAATTTTCTGTGGTCATTCTTTGTAACTGAGACTAAAACATCTTTGAGGTTACATCATCAGATCAAGACAAAAATTTATGGTAATTCTCATTTTATCTATGTTGTAATGTAGAAAAACGTTGGAATTATTTAAGCCTTGTCTGCTACCTGCTCTTTTCTTGCTTGGCTTCCTCCTTGACCCTAAAAATGAAGGCAGTATGTCCCTCTGAAACACTGATAGTCTTCTACTGGACTACAGGCTGTTACAACTCAGAAACTCTTAAATGCATTGCAATTGGTCTGTAAGGAGGACTGATTCAGTTGAAATTGTTACAGTGTTTGTGTATCTGGACAAATCACGCTGTGACGAAGAAAGTCGCAACTTCCCAGCAGAGATCGGTCAGAGGTACCTGGTATCTTATCCTCTGGGTGAGGGTGGTTTTGGAGAAGTGTCATTAATATTTGAGAAGGTGAAATATGTTGCAGAGGTGTCTAGAATTCTATAAGAAATGTGAGGTTCTCACATTGGTGTGGAGATTATGTCATTCTGTGATTTGATCCATGAAGTTTAGTACACAGGTACCAATGTTTCAAAGAAACTCATATACCAAATTATATGAAATTACATACCAGAAAACTGTAATCTCAATCTATAATTCAGAAATAGTTTTCAGTTTCTTTAATACTGTGAACCAGTAATGTCACCATTCCTTCACCAGTTAATAGAACATCACAATGAATCATCATTCTAGGATTTTCATGTTTCTGCACTTTACTGCATTTCACAAAATTATAAGCAGGTTGTTCAAATATAACCCACTTGAGGATCTAGACATCCATTCCCCCATATGCCTTTATGGTGTAGTGCTTAATTAGTTAAGCACAGGAACAACTTTACCATTTTGAAGACTGTTCTTCATAGAAGAACAGAGACCATTAAATATAGTTCCCACGGGAACTGAGGCTGGCATTCCATGTCATAGGCACTGGCAGAGAGGGGTGAAAACTAAACTTCTGCCCCCTCCCCAGAGAGAGAGACAAAAATATGTACAAAATATTAATACCAGAAATTAAAATTATTTTTTGAAAAAGTGTATTCTTCTATACTAAACAGCCTAGGGGGTCAGCAAAAATAACCCTAAACAGCTTAAATGTAAGTTCTCCAGGCAAATTCTCTAGCTGTGTCCCCTTTGGGAACAATCCTACTGGTACCATGTCCACAGTTGATGATGAATGGAGATATCAGGGTACTTGAGTGGTGATGACCCATGACTGACCTGTTTTCCAGTGCTGTGAATGGGTTTCATTTGAACAAACCTCATATTATAGAACTTCTATCTAAATATTTTTCTGTTTCCCTGGTATTTATAAAGATAAATATAAACTATAAGCAGATGGCAGTCCTGCTTATGCGAAGTTATTTACAAAATTGCTTTAATTTAAAAATGTGGTATAAGTTTTGAATGTGAAATACCATTAAAATGCATTCATTGCAAGCACTGATGGTTGCAGACCATAGATGGACGGACAAACTGACATGACCCTGCCTACCTTTAGAACTAGTCTTATGCTTTAACTTCTTTCCATTAGGAATACCTAGTAGAAGTGGAATGATTTGGTGACTGACAAATGGACAAAACTTTTCTTTTAATTGTCTCTGTGCTCTTTTGTTTTCAGGACACAGGCAAAAGATTTGCCATGAAAATGGTCAAGAAGCAACCTAAATTGCTCAGATACATTTACACTGAAACCAAGATTCTTCAGGAAATCAATCATGTGAGTTACCAAGTGTTGAGTAAGAGATAAAGCCAGGATTTATCAGAATGCTTGCTACTAAGTCAAACCATGATCCCTCCAATATTCTTTGGGATCTTCAGAATTAAAATCTGAAACAAAAATCTTGACTAGCATTCTCTTCAAGTACTGAACCTCATCATTTTGTTTTTCTTAGTATTATAGATATAATTATATACTTTCTATGTTGGCAGCCCTGTGTCATAAACACAGAGCAGGTAGTGGACACACAGTCTGTTCTGTTCATTGTACTGGAATTCATGGAAGGAGGTGACCTCCTGCGGCGTGTGCATCCAAAAAACTCCATCAGAGAGGCCGACATGAAACTCATATTCTTCCAATTGGCACAAGCCATTGAGTACTTACATCAAAGGAGCATTGTGCACCGTGACATCAAGGTGATCACATATGTTACAAACAGGAGTGAAACTTACATTTGATGTGTCTTAGAGGACAATTTCAATTACAGAACTGTAAGGATGAACAGTCATATTCAGGATCTAATGTTGAATGAACCTGTATGACTTGAAACTGCTGTCATATCTTGTAACTGACCTACAATATGTCCACTGGCTATTTCAATGATGGTATTGAAGAGATTTTAAATCTCATACCAGTGAGCATGAAGATTATGGCCATCTTGGATATGACACCATGTTGTTTGGTAGAAGATACAAATGTTTCAGGGATTTGCCACTATGTAATTTGGTAGAAAGCTACCAGTATTTAGGATTATGGTCCTTTGGAATATCTTGCCATGTACTTAGTGGATTAGTAAGAATGTTCTGGCCTCCTTCTACCTTGAAGATAAAGGTACCAGGCTCCTCCAAATTGTTGGTATCTCTCTACCACATTACACGCACATAGTATTTTCATCCTACTGAAGCTCTGTATAATAGCCAATGCTTTTTTCTAAAAACTTGTTTACCAGATTTTTCACCTCTAGATTGAAACATACAATCCACCAGCAGATGTGCAAATTTTGATGAATTTGGCAGTATATGTACTGGCTAAAGGAAAGGCCTCACCAGAATAATAGGGAACTTCATGAACAGTGAATAACTGTCATCACCATAGGAATGAACAAAAAGTTCGTAAATTTCTTGCAGATGTATGATAAATTATGTAATTATGGCAGAAGCTCAGAATTATTCTACTGTGGGATGTCGTTGATGATCTTCACCACATGCGCTTCCAATCATGTCGGGGTCACCAATGTGGAATGTCATACGAAGAGACAGCCACTAGTTGAACTGTCCTATAGGATTTATTGCAGCTGCACAGTATACACAGACGGATAATAACAACAGTGAACTGTCGAATCTAGAACCGTAACTGTTTACTCGTCGTTGCTAAGCAATGAAGCTCGCGTTGTCACACTTGCTTGAATGTGGGCAGTTCCCACACTACCATGTGTTATTTAAATACCTAAGGCATTAGTTAATCCTTTCATCATTAGATATATTAGGTGGAAAATATATTAATTTATCGATTTCTGAAAATTAATGGAATGGTATATGCAAACAGGTATATAAGTAGTGTGTACATCAATTCTGTTACAGCCTGAGAACATACTGCTAGCAACCAAGGGAAATGAGACTCTTATAAAGGTGGCAGACTTTGGTGTATCCAAGATTCTAACACCAGGCACTAAGATGGATACGCATGTTGGAACGCCATTATACACAGCACCTGAAATCTTGAATAACACTCATGAAGTGTATACAAAACAGGTGGACATCTGGAGCATGGGGATTGTACTGTATTTGTGGTATGATCATATAAACATGATATGTCAAACTTATTACTCATTTTATTACCAAGTATATTAAACACTAATGTCTCGTACGTTGCAGTTTGAGTTCCCAGAAACCCTTTGGAGGAAAGGAGGACATCATGAGAGCAGTTGTCCAATTCCCACCTCTCTTCTGGGCAGGGATATCAGTCTCAGTCACTGATCTCATCAAAGGCATGCTCAAATCTTCACCTACACAGCGACTTCGTATCGAACAAGTTTTGTCTCACCAGTGGCTAAAGGTAGGAACTCTTGCACCTGCAGGCAGGTACTCTTTTAAGTGCAACCACCATCAACTTTAAATGAATGGTGCAAAGTCAAATTTGTCCCTGTGGTTAGTTAACCCTACAAGTGCAAATTGTCGAAAATTTATACCTGTACAAAAGTTGCTATTTGTGAAATGTGACACCTGTCAGCATTTTCCTGCATTAAGTAGTCATGAAACACATGGAGGAAAATTTTCCCTACATTTTAACTTCCTTGGGAGTTCTTGCATATATTGTTCATCTACAAAAGCAAAGCTTCCCTTAATATAAAATGCCAGTTTTACACTGTAGGAATTAAAGCATTTTAGAATTAAGCAGCATGCCACACATTCTCAACCATGGCATTAGGTAGACGTGAGTGGCCAGTTTCACATGTAGGCTGCATTGCACCCAGAGTAAGGTGCACACTGAGTGGGCCCCAGGGTCAGTCAGGACACTGTGGAGAACAGAGATACATCTGACCCTGCTAGGGACTCAACTGGTGTTTGTGTGAGGTTCTAGCCTACAGCCTTCACTCTACTGACTGAAGAATGTAATTTCATAATGCATAAAACACAAGTAAGGAGCTTTAAGGCGTTACAGATTTTCACTCTGATCTTGGCCTTCCTATTTTTTTCACATCGAATATTCACTATCTAAATGATTTTATGCTTCTAATGAACAAAGCACCTGAGCATTCTGGAACATTTCCATCAACATTTAAAACTGAATGCCAACATAGTAAATTCGTTGTTGGTCCTGTGGCCTGGAGAAATTTTGGTTCAGGAACCATTCTTGTAACATGTCTGATGTAGCTGATATGTCAACATACACACAGCTTAGAGAATGGGGGATCACAGCCTCTGTCTGTCACTTCCTTCATTGGCATAAACATTAAGTATCTATGGGCTTTTAAAAAATATTTGTTCTTTGTATTTGTTACTTCAGTTAAATTTTGTTATGGTTAGTATAGACAGTGGTCAAAGTGTAGGCAAAAGGAAATGGGGGGGGGGGAAATAGGCTAATATATAGCCAGAGCAGAATAAAGGTCTAAATTTTCATTACAAACTGTATAGTTTCAAATGGGCAGTTTTATAAATGGATTTGATGGTACTTCATGACAAAAGGTATCCATGAGATGACATTAGCTTTAGGTTTTTGTTGCTCCTTACTCTGGTGCCTAGGACATGAGCAGGAGAATTTGGAACATGACACAACATGTGATTCCTCTGTGACCTGTCAGGAGAGCCTTGCAAAGGTATGAATATTTGCATGGTGACCATGAAAGGGTTACTGGAGCTGCTAGTATTAAAATGAAGTAGTTAAACATGAAATATATGCACAACAGAGTGCTGATATCATCAGGCACTGCACAGTGATCTGGATTTTTTTTTTAATATGTAGTAAGATATTTGTCAAAATTTAACAATGTTTCAATGTTTCTGAGTGTAACATTTCATCATAGAAACATTAAATAATTATGATTTCTGTTAAAATCCATTCTTTGAGAACCCCAGATAGCTGTGTTGTTATAGTGACTAGGCTATGGGCTGGACAACAAAGGAATCAGAGTTTGATTTCTGGAAGGGGGAAGAGATTTTTCTCTTCTTCACAGCATCTACCTGTATAATGGTTCTGGGACCCATCCAGCCTCCTACCTCATAGATACCCATACTTTTTCCATGAGTGGAGCAGCTGGAATAATAAACTAATCACTCACCTCCACCTCGTTCTATGGTTAAGAATGCATGCACCCTCCTGTACATGTTCATGATGTGGTAATTACTTTAAGCACAGAGACAACTTTATATTTAGCATCCTGACAATTCATGTGGCTTATACAGAATGTCCCAGGAGTAAAGATCAATATTCTGGGAGGTCACAGTATCGGTCATTCAAAGTAAAAAAAGTGTTTATGTACTTGTGTTCTATTCCAAGTGGTTTCCAAGATAAGCTACTGCACTGTACACTGTACAGACGAGCAGCACGCCATGTCCACACACAAGTTGCAAAGAGCATTGATGTTGATGGTGGACTTTTCAGAAATGTATTATACTAGGTAAACTGTACCAGCTTTGTCACTTGAAAAATAAATACGGATGTTAGAAACAGTACGTAATATCTCTTTCTTATCAACAATTTTGGAACTGTACACTGAAATAGCTCTATTTCAGAAACTGTTTGGAATAGGACGTGTGTATGTATACACTTTTTTGCTTAGAATGACCAATACTATGACCTTCCAGAATACTGACCCTTCCTCCTAGGACACCTTGTATAGTGCCTTATTCTTGTGAATCAATCTCCTTTGCATAGTGACTGAGACTTCCTACTTAGTGCTGAAGAGAAAAGTCTAAACATGCTCTGGATTTCTTAACCTCAAAGTCGTAAAATATATGATTGTGGTAGGATCAGACCATGCGACGGAAGGCACACTACCTCATGTGGCCGCATAAGCCATATGTTGGGGATCAGACAGCTCCTTCCTTCCAAAGAGGAGGAAGCTACAGGCAGCAGCCACGAGGCATACTACAGTACATGTCTCCAAAAGGCAGTGAGACCATGCGCTTGCCAAACAGGGCACTTCAACGGCCAGGGATAGGTGCTGAGAGATACCGTCTGATCAGTCCAGTAGGCAAGCAACCAGCATTAGGGACCCGTGCATCTGGAGACAACCTTCCAGTACCACGAGTTCAACATAAACCAGCTGTGGGACCTAGTGTTCAGCGTTCAGTGCAATTTAGACCACAGAATGGAGGTGGAGTGAGATATGAAGCAGTAAAACCAGTGAAAGATGCTATACACAAATTTGAAAAAAAAAATATTTGAGTGAATGCAGGACACAGTAAATGATTTGCTGTACCTCTGCCAGAGGTGAATTTTGGAAGTGCAAATGCATGAGCAATGACAAAACCTGAGAAGTGGCCTGGCCCTACTTCAGTCTGATATGCTACTTCCAATGATGTCCATTCTGTTACAAGTAGAGCACCTGACAGAGATGTTAGTGTATCCACCTGCCTGTAATACTACATCAGGGACACTCTCCTAACCTCATTTCAAGTTGTGCTCCTACACTAGACTTGGTTTGCCCTCTTCACATTGTCTGTTTGGGTCTCACACCAAACAAAGTTTTATGTTTATGTTGCAATCTTACACCAGGATCTATCTGAACAGATCTGGTGACTTCATTTATCTAATTGAAAAGAAAATTCTGCTGCAGTTTTCTTTAGCAAAACTAATCAAACCTTGCAGGGCCACATGGGGTATTACGATTGATCTCAAGTGTTGAATTTTAGTAAGATTTTCTCTTAGAAACTTTCATTGTTGGAGAGATCCAAAAACATTTTTCTAGTTAGAACTACCAGTTTAAATGAAAGCTGAAATTAACATTTATGTCTTTTGGATTTTCACCATTTTCAGAGACATTTCATATAAAGTTGTTGTGTACTATATTAATTATCTTTCAGTACAATCAATCATATCTATATATCTGAAACAGATTTTGTTCTTAAAAGAACCTACATGGATATTTTCACTACCATTTCCTTTGGAGGAAAATGAATTACCCTCCCAGATGTAAACCTGCAGTGAACGAAATATTCCTACATATACTTAACATGTTGTGACATCATTTCTGGTGTGAAATGTGAAGTGATATTAAAATGTGAGCCAATGGACATAAAGAGATTTAACTGGAATAATTCTGTAACTGCCTTTGGAGGATACTTCCCATGGTATAAAAGTTCTGTGACAGAACAAATACAGTTTTACATCACCATTAATCTCTGTGCTTTCAAGCACTTTGTGTATTATGTATAAAATGTTCTTTTGTCCATTTGTTTCTACTCCAAAATGTGTAAGTCAAACTTTATTTTTGCTCAAACTATTCTGTTAGAACCTGCATTCTACCTAAAAACCTAAATTGATTTATCCATCCCTAGATGCCCAATTATCAATACTGTATATGCCCCACCTACTTTAACATCCAAAAACTCCGAATTTTGTCCACACAATGCATTTATATGCTCTGTATGGTTCTTTCAATAAATGAAAATTAAATTCCTAAACAGTATTAACTGACTGGTCTTTGTAACAGACACATGTTTTCTGCGAGATACAAAACATTTTAAAATATTATTTAAATTAATTTAAGCCTTTAAAATGTTAGATTTAATTGAATAAGCATAAAACCAATAAATTTCTCATATAAGAATTAAGTTACATGTATATATTGTTTATTGTATAAGCTTAGAGCCGCAAGAAATGTAGTAATATTTGATTTTTGCCTACATTTGCATCAATCATATATTGTCAATGATATCTGGGAACATCCCACATTATCACGCATTTTCTGCAATGCACACTCTTCACATCACTTTTCACCATTACGCGCGCTAACCAATTAAATTGCTCCAAACGTTCGCATTTATACTGCGCTCGCTGCTAGCCCCGCATCTACATCATCATGCGCGCTAGCCAATCAGCACCCTGCAAATTCTTCCTCCTCAATTTCAAGTTTCGCTCCGCCCACCAAGCAGTGTATAAAAAGGAGCAGCCGCAAGTCGGCAGCATCAGTCCGACTTCAGTCTATGATCAAGGCACACTCAAGCAGCATCAGCCAGCAGGCTTCATCGCCAGCGCTCGGTCTTCGGAAGCATCGGCAGGCTGCGCCAGGCATGACTGCCTCGGCCCTCCGGCTCTCACAACCCGACTCACTGGGGCACCTCGCCTGGACTCGCCAGTGATCGTGTCCCTGTCCGACCCACTGGGCATCTGGCGTAGCCACTGCCTCATCACTCCTGCGACCGCGCTGCGCGACCACGCAACTTCAACTCACCTGCCGCACGGCGGTCAAGCAACCTCCAGCAACGGCTGCGCTGTAGCCAGTCAAACCACCGCAACTAACCTCTCTCCCTACTGGCGTGCACCGCGCTACCTCACTGGTCAAGCATCTCAGCAACCATGGTCCTTTTCAGGACCAACAAACTGTTCTGAAGAAGTGGGTTGTCATCAGAGTAATAACAAAACTACATAAAACCCCACAGATATTTTTCATTTAATTTCTGAGCTTCTATTTTTACCTTTAGCATTTGGTGTTTCTGTATGGCTGTCACAGTTTTTCTTTCCCCCTTTTAACTTTCTTCTCAATGTGGAACAGTCACATACTTTGTTATTCTGAGCTTGTTGGTAAAGGGGCAAAATTTAAACATCAAGAAACATGCCTATACCAATGTCATGTATGAATCTCAACAGAGACAAAAAGAATGTTAACCACATAACAAAATGGAAGCCACTTTACCAAAAAAAATTCTTAATTGTGAGGTTTTCAAATGCAACCTGTTCACATGTTCTTCAGCCCCTCAAGAAACAGCTAAAAGACTGTAGATTCAGGTCAGACAAAGACATCAAAGCCACCGGAAGCAGCTGTTTGAGAAGCAGCCAGGGAATTATTTGCAGATGTGATCCATTGTCTGGTTTCTAAATAAGATGTCTCCCTTAGCACTCTTGGGGACTATTTGCAACAGCCTCTACTCCTTTTCCCAGAACAATCCTGAACAAGATTCATTTTAACAACCCTCATACAACACAGCAGTGGGAGTAATAAACCAGTGTTTAAGCCCAATACAAGAATTAGAATTCACAAGACTTCAGCATGATCCATGTTGCCTTATGGCAGTGAAGCTTGACCTACAGTGAGCTCTCAATTATCCACCTGTGGATTAAATGTGGGACTTCTATAACCCCTGAGACACTGATAATGACATCCCATAATGGTTCAAATGTTGCACATTATATCTGCTCCAGTAATATGTATCAGTGATGCTTTACAATTATTTTAACTCTATTGTAACTTCCTGTTTTATTATTACATTAGTTTTCTCCTTGACATACCATTGTATATGAGGTTGGTTACTTTCTTATATTGGAAAAATATTTGAGTCACTATTCAGTGACAACACCACCAATAAATAACAATTAGTGATTTCTGGGGTTGAATGCAGCATGGACAGTGGATATTTCCAGCATCTTTTTGACTATTCATTGCACTACTTCTGCTTTTTATTACTGCAGATAACACACTGTATATGCAAACAGAATAAAAGCACAATTACCTTAACAGAAATTAAATTCATGAGAGCAGCAGATTACCGTTACTTGGAACGAAGGAAATAATTATGTAACCAGTCATGGAATTCATATCAAATTATAGTTCTAACTGCAAAACCACACTCTACAAAATCCCCACTCAAGAATCCCAATACCTTTCAACAGATCCTACAGATTCTGGCTTCAGAATGTAATTGGTCACTAGATTTAAGAAATGGAAAGCAATGTTACCACTAACATATATACTCTTTCAGTTCACAGTGAAGTGTGGATTGTTCCTGTGATGCAAGAATAGCCAAATATATATAACCAACATACTGATTCTAAAGGGTTCTGAAGATGGTGTATAACATTTTGAATTATTGAGTTTCCAGACTTCATCCATTGTCCAGTATTCTAAAAAACACAACATTTCAGAAGCTGGATGTTTCCATCCTTAGGTGAAAAGGTGTGTGGCACCTACTCAGTGAGGTATGTTATGAAGAGCTAACTTCAATCATTGCATAACCTGTGTCAGGTTGTCCACTGATTGAGATTAGCTACATAAACATAGTCACTTACACTGACATACTCATGTGTTGTCTAGTGACTGGGGTTGGCTATACTGACATACATTGTTCAGTGACGGAGATTAGCTATACTGACATAAATTGTCTAGTGACTGGGGTTGACTATACCAACATAGTCATTTATACTACCATAGTGCCATGTATATGGAGTGTGACCATAGACAGGGTGTGGATTGGTAATGGGATTTATTGAACACTTAATAGATGGCAACTATAAGTAACTATACCCCTCTTGCTTACTCACACACACTACAATTCACTGCTCTGAAAAAAAAAACTCTGTGGCCCTTAGTCTGCAACTGAACTATACTGACCAAGTGACTGCCATTTGTCAGTGAAGTTAGTGCCAAGTTTTGCAGATAGAGGGTGTCGCGTGGTCAACACAACGGATTCCCACAGCCATTAATCTCAGTTTTCTAGACCAGACTACAATTCACTACAACATGCATCATGTCTTCTCGGTCTGCTGTGTCTTCACAGGTTGCCTGGCAATGGCCTCCAATGCCATAGATCCCTCAACTTCCAAGTTCATAGTTTCATGTCCTTGCTAGCTGTCACCTATCTCACTGCAGCACCTGAGATGGCTTCCAACTGCAAAACCCCAACTTGATTCCATTCCACTGAGAGAACTCGGATGGTTGAGTGATATAGCCTCAGAACAGCCCAAACGGAAAATGCTGTTCCTCTGTTGATGTGGGTGGCATGGTATCATGTATTCCATTGCAGTGGCACTGTCCGCCTGGTGCCAGGCTGCATGGCAACACCACTTCCTGCAGCTCTCCTATTGATGCACGATGTCACCGCAGACATGAGGTGTTCCTCTATTGGGTGTGTAATCACGACACTGATAACTTGTTTACTGTGCTATAACCTAGTAATGGCTCTCTACATCCTATGATAGAAGTGCTACTGATTGGGTATAGATTAAGAAACTGAAAAAGTGGCCAAGGTCCACAATGTTTGTACAGCCACAGATATGCTGAGTCGCATATACTGGATTGTACTGATACTTGCTGTCTAGTGACTGGGGTTGGCTGTGATAATGCAGTCAGTTATACTGACAGTAATTGAGGTTAGCAATAGTAACATAGTCAGTTACATTGACATGGACTGTCCAGTAACAGAGGTTAGCTATGCTGACAGTCACTTCTACTGGCAAAGGTTGTCTAGTGATTGAAGTTAGCTCTTTTTAACAGACCTGACAGAGTGAAGTGCATCCAACCCTTTCACCTGAGGATGGAAATAGATCCAGTTTCCAAAGCACTGTGTTCTTTAGAATACCAGATGATGGACATAATCCAGACAATAATCCTGAGAACCAACATGTTTCCAACTTCAGATTTGTCACAGGTTCTTGTGCTCAGGACATTCTATCTGATTCTGATTTATAAAATAAAATAAATGGTGAAGTCTAGAACCACAGATAGTATATGTCTTTCAGCTGTCTGGACAGAGAATGGCTGAACAAACAGTTCTCTCAACACTGAATTTAAAGGTGAGGACTAGTGGAATGGCCTCCACAACACTGTGACCTTATTTAACTTTTTACCCTGTGGGAGAGAATCAGGGACAAGAAATGAATATAAAGCGTATTCATTATAGAGATAGAATTTTATTGCATTCATGGAACTTTACACACTGCTGTCGCAGTCTCGTTCCAGCAGTGGGTGGAGAACTGCGCACAGTTCAGTTGATGTTCAACACAACTTATGCTATGGTTTTAGATTAAAAAAAAAAGTTACTGATGCTGAAGAGTGGTAGAAATGGTGTTCAAATGTTCAACAGGAACATGGCGCAATTTTCCTCCACACAGTGCTTCAAGTCCATGTTAGTCTATATTATAATGTGTATTACTGAGGAACGTGCTCCGTACTCCCCAACATTTCTAACAGATGGCTAAAATCTATGAATTATATGTACTGCTACATACACAGAAATGTTTAAAAAATAAACTGAAGAACACAAGTCATCGTCAGGAATATGTAACAATATGTACATTTAGAATAACATTTGTCTCCTGCCCCAACGAACCAGAGTGTGCCGCAGCACAGCTTCTCAATAAGTATTACTAATCGCAGTTTCTGTTCACTAGGAATTGCTGGTTACAATGTTTAATTACATCGGATTTGCACATTTCCCCTCGTCCCAAAGTAAGATCAGTTAAAATAAGAGCTGGAGGAAAGGAATGGTCCATTCCACAGCAGTGGGAGAGCCCTCAAAAGTAATGATCAACACCAACTGCATGGTTCCATCGTAAGGTTTATAGCCCGAAAATATGTTTTATCTGTAAACAGTATATTTAAAACGATCCATTCCTGGAAAAGACCGCAGTCTGTCAGATGTCATGCTGGTGGTTTAGAAAACAAATCTGACAGTTGTTCATCCCCCCCATAAAGGCATTTTGGTTTGTTTCTGAACTCAAATGGCATGTGAAATGTTCTCTACTGTGTTAACGTGAGCAACCGTTCACTCCCCACCCTAAAAGAGCTGCATCCTTCTCAGTCACACCACACACCATCTTGCTTTGAGCAGTCTCCAGTTTCTGAAACCAACTACCAGATTGGTCGTTTTGAGCCCATCCATCGTTAGCCACTGGCCCCAGGTTCCCTAGGGAATCTCCAGCGTGCTCTGACGCAACAGACGGGCGTGCCAGCCTTACTGACAAGACAAGAAACGGACTCAATGTAGAGGAGATGAAACCATTACACACTACTCTGACTATGCTACACTAATACATCTTGCTGCTAGGTGACAACTATTCAAAATTGAGCACCTGACGTCACTTTTTCCGTCCTTTGAGTGTGGGTTATGTACATTCCAATGTGTTGTCCTGGCAGTGTACGTGATTAGAATAAGTCGCGATGTTTATATACACAACAATACGCATTAAAAACGATGTCTGGGACTGATATTAGTGCCACTAAGTAACCGTTCTCACTCAAATGCACACATACACTCACACAATGCACAAACTAATGCTATGACTAGGGATGGGACATTTTGATTGGTGCACACTCAAGACACGGAGAGAGCTGCTGCCTACACGCTGAGCAATTCACAGATTTGTAAAGTTTCTGTTTCTCTCAAAGAGGTGGAGGTTTGCGTTCACTATGCTCTCTCGCTCCACCTCCACACAAAACACCATACCACTTCTCGTCCATTCTATTAGGCTGCTTACAGATTAATAAAAAACATTCTTATAGAATTGATAGTTGAAATGTCACACTACAGCGCATGGTGCAATGGAAGATAATTTTGTAAAGTAGGGATTGTCTACAACACTTGAGAACATACACATGGGGAAAAGGCCCAGGCCTGGGATCGTTGATCAATTTCACTTCATTTGTCTGATCTGTCTCTTCTCAGTGACAGGGCCGGCGCAGGCTGTGCCGTAGGTAGAGTACGCAAGCCTTGCCGCAGTCCAAGATGAGGTTGTAAAGCTGACCCTCTACTCCCGGCACTGCTAGCAGCAGGGGGAGTGGGGATGACACGGAGAAATTACCGATGTTAAGAGTTTCCCATTGTCAAACAGCGCTGTTCGGAAAGCGTGGCGGAGGGAGCGGGGGTGGGGGCCTGACCGCTGGTACGAGCTCTCGTGAAGAGCGCTCGGAGGCAGCTGAAATGAGAGAAACGACGTCACAAGCTTGCCTCCCTGGGCAGGCAGAGGGAGGACAGTGACAGACAGACAAGCACAACAACAAACACTACAACATGCAGGCCGGGCTCAGGAAAGGATTGCGGCACGTTCTCTCATCGTATCTTCACAATAATTTAATTGATTATTTCTTGTTCTCAAGCAAGTGCACAGTGCAAAATATTTTATCTGATGGCTGTACCACTCTGTACAGTGCTAGGCAGGTGTTGTGTATCACCAGTGTCCTAGAAATTAGTCTGAAAATCTATATATAAATCTTGCTTGTGCTTCAGAGTGCATGGTGTGTTGAGAAATGAACACACCCATACCTGGTACCGTGGCATATGCAGAGTGGCGCCTGGGATTGTATTTACTCATAAACGTCCTTCTTTCAAACGGGCTCGGCACTGGGTACAAAAAGATTTTAAAAAAATATTTTGATGACATGGATCATAACAGCAATCAAAAAATCCCTCCTTCCAGACAAAGATCTTGACCGTTACATACACTTCAGTTCAGCAAGGGAGGAGAGGAAAAGTGGGAGAACTAGGGGGGCGTCATGCAAATTGGGTTTACACAACAAGAAACTCAGTAAAATGTATTACTTTAATTTCAGCAAAAATACATGAGTACAAGAAAATAAACTGAACCAAGTGACTGGAAAGATGAGACTGACAACTCTTGCAGCACACAGTACTGCCAGGCTCTTAAATGTCACTTCCATGCTTTCACATTCTTAAAAAAATATAAACAAAACTTAACACAACATTACACAATTCTTGCATGCAAGTCGATGTATGTTGGCTGCGAGCTACAACACACGCAGGTGTGTAAGCGGCTACAGAATGCTGCTAGCTCCCTACATCTTGTAGTGCCTTTTCATCACTTTGTATACATAAGCTACTTGAGAAGCGGCCCATAATGTTTCATATAAGCTTATCAAAAGACAAATCATAAATTTGCATAAGTTCATTTTTCAAAATATCCATGCAAAAATCTGCAGGATGGACTTTTTCTGATGACTGCCTGCCAAATACTGCACATGCACTAGTCTAGGTTTGCTGCGGGGTGACTGCAACTCAACAAACCGAAGAGAGGTGTTGTGGTGGTGCTGGTAAGAACACACACATATTTGGCAGTGAGGTGTTCGTATTATTACTTTAACTGTTTGATATGTGTTTTGTGTCTGGAATATCTGAAACCCAGCAAGGTAGACACCAAAGTAAAACTAGAAAATGGGGCGAGGTGCTTACATGAGTCGGGGTGTGGCTTTTCCTCGGCCACCATTAGCGCTGCACGCTCTGCCGGGGGCATGCGCTGCTCTAACGCATTCACACAGTTTAGCATGCTCCTGGAAAAGAGTCAGCATACCTGGTTTGGGTGAGCTATGCAACAATAACACGGTGAGGGGAGAGGCCCATCCCCAGCATCATACAACTCACACCAATAGTAATCATCATCTTTCCTTTTTTATTTGTCCTGAAGAAGTATTAGAAAACTATACTGGACATACTTGGATGGAACCCAAGGTAAATCAGATAGTTTTCCGGAGACCGACAACACCCAGCGTTACCTGCCAGCTCAAAAGAACAATTACAACCTAATATCTTCTTGCTAAAGCTTCTGATCAGATTCCACCATACCACTCACGTCTGTCTCTTTGCTCACTGATGTCTCCTCCATACTCCTGAAAGCGAACACACTTCAATTAAGGTTCCTCCTGCGTCTCTCGCATAACGATGTCTTCTGCTAAAGGAGGCAAGCCTCAAAGCAGGTTCCCGATTCAAGTATAAAATCTGTCTGCATCCCACGCTGCAATGCGCTGAATGTGTGCAGACTTCAGAAAGGGGATTAGAACGCTCTTGTCATGCTGTGCACGGTGGCGCGTAGTGGGTGTGTCGGCTGGCCTGAAGACTGTCATAGTGCAACGGGCAGCCAGCTTTCCCCATGCATAAGTTTCTCAAGCGATACAATATGTGTGCCAACAGATTTTACATCCAACCGGAATCCTGCCTTCAGGCAAGTTGAGGTGGAGCGACAAGAACATGTTATATCCAATAGAAAGTATCTTTGTGTTCAGGGAGTTGGGTAAGAAAACATTTTAAAAAGATCTGTAGACAGGCTCTGTAAAAGAAATCTGCTTGAATGAAACCATCTTAACTCCGACAATTCTCAGAAAACTTAGTGACTTTCACTACTGGTCTGTGGAGTTGTGTCGCTGACCAACACACAACACAGAACACAAGCATGCTGCCACAACACAACTCCACACTACATTTGCTGAGAGGAACCCAAACATAAGAAACATAAATGAAGGTTTTCCTTTCCTCATCCATCCTTAAATTCTGTATCGTGTCACTATTCATATCTTCCTTTTATTAGTGTTACAATTTGTGAACATCTGCAATCTCATTTAGTAACGGTTAAAGGCATCTAAAGAGAAATAAATGGTGCTTTTGTATCTGCTGCTGTAGATGTGTGATACAAGTTTAATCCAAACTAATAAATTCCAGACAAAATATATTTACGTGTTTATACAGAAGCATTTGGTGTTATGGCTGTGACAGAAGTTTCACTTCCAAATCTGGTCCACCACAGACACAAATGAAACAGGGACAAATACTCAAGAAGGGAAGAAACGAAACAAACGTGGGAGATTCTAAGAGCTGGAAAGCATGCATACCCATTCAAAGCTTTGCCACTAGCAGGGACTAGGGAAGAAGAGAGAGGTACTGAAATGAAAAGATAGAAGAGAGCATGCAAGGTTGAGCAACATGCAGCAAGAGTCGAGCTACTCACCCATACAACCTACTGTCGCGCAGACTGCCCCTTGAACCACAGTAAAGAGAGAAGTAGATTAACAACATAGTACATCTTGTATAGAGATAGCTTTTCTGTCTGAGATATCTCTATTGTGGGGCACACAATTGTGTTGAGATATTTATACTGTAAAGCACACAACTGTGTTGAGATATCTCTACTGTGAGGTACAAAAACGTGTTGAGGTATCTCTATTGTGAGCCACACAATTTTGTCAAGATCTCTACTATAGGCACACAACTGTGTTTGAGATATCTCTACTGTGAGGCACACAACTGCAGAGCCTAAAACTGTGTTGAGATATCTTTACTGCAGGGTATGCAACTATATTGAGATATCTTAAACATGGTACACATCTAATGGGGGCGACTCTGTTTAAAGATATCTCTATTGTAAAGTATTGCACCTCTGCCAGATACATAGAACTGGTGTGGGACATCTATATTATTTAAAATCATATCCAACCAAAGTTGAAATAACCAATATATATAAGCAAATATAAAGGAAGTTAACTCTGCATTGATATCAGGCATGTGCAGTCCTAAGTTGCATATTATTTGGCAGACAGGAAAGTGTCCTTTAGAAGCACGTAGAGCATTTTAATAAAATACCATGTAACTTGTTCAGATAATGTGAAAGGTTAGAATAAGATAAAAAATGTCATGTGAAAGATTTATGAACAGACGAGTTTTGAAGTTTCTACAGCAGTAAAAATTGAGAATGTGTTCTCTTTCAGCTATGATACAGTACCTTTTGGGTTGTTAGCAACATTTTGGAGGATGGCTTATGTGCAAGTTATGTAGGTGGTAGGAAGAAGTGGGTCACACAGGCCACAGTTCTGCTGCCCTTCAAAAGGAAAGTTATTTCTGAAGGATACAAAGATACTGTGTTATGTCATACATATGTATGCTCTGGCTGGACTGCAAAGCATCATATCTATACTGATTTCATAACATGTGATGATCAAATGAAGGAAGCTGAAATGGGTCAGGCATGTAGCAAGCATGGGAAAGACATAGTTTGTAGGAAAACATGAACCACATGGGAAGTCCTAGATATAGGTGGAAGGACTGTATTACAATGGATCTTAAAAAGGAATGGGGTAGGAAGTTATGGACTAGTTACATGTGGCTCAAGGCAGAATAATGGGTTGTGAACATTGATATAAACCTTTGTGTTCCTTAAAAAACATGGAGATTGTTGGCTAACTGAGCTGACTAACTGACTTAGCTTCTCAAGCACTGCTGCATTGAATGAGGTAGTTATAGTTAGTTTGTTAGGCAAGTATTACATTTTTGTCTTGTTTCCCACAGCACAACCAACACATGTAACTCTCATTCTTGTACATTTGGTAAGACAAGCTTGTTAAAAGCAGAGGAGCTAATACTCTGAGGCTGAGTTAAATGGTGACTCACAGCTGTGAAGCCAAGAACTTTCTTCAGCCTTTTAATTTCTCAATCACATAAATGTCTACAAAAGCCTATGTGTTTGTAAGTATCTTTTCTTGGTGTATGAACTAAAAACCATGTCAAAGAACTTAATCATGTATATATATAGATAATAATCTCCGTGTGCACAGTGTATATAATAAAATAAGTCCTCGATTCAGAATATAATAAAATTTTCTGTTGATCTGGCTAGTATGAGACATTCTACGGCACAGTAACAGACAGTGGCAGTGTAAATACATATGTGTAGTTTGTGGTGATTTTTCATATGTAGGTCTTTTTCTTAATTTGCTTAGTGGGGGGTGGAGTCCAGCTGGGTCCACTTGGTATGGTGGCCACTGACTGGCCTATTGTACCTGCCCCGGGTGATTATGATGATGGAGAATTTTGTGAAATAAAGATTGGCAAGGGAAACCGAAGTACTTGGAGAAAACCCACCCCAGCACCACTTTGTCCACCACAAATCCCGACCTGACCAGGGATTGAACCCGGGCTGACACGGTGGGAAGCCAGCAACTAACCACTTAAGCTATGGCGTGACCTCATATGTAGGTTGCTGTTTTACAGTACAGAATCCAGATGTAGCATCATGAAATATCTGGGTTATCACATGCCAATACATGACACAGAGACTATGTGCTTGCATAAGTTCCTGGGAGAACTCAGAAGGTGGGATAATGCACACTGAGAGACACAAGACAGTGGTGCACACAATATGTTGCACTGAGGCTCACAATAAGTCCATGTGAGACATTTACTACTGGCTGTACAGTTATGTTCAAAATTGTTTTGGTGTGCCACAACTCAAAGTACATGGACTGTAATAGCTCAGTTGGTATAGTGACAGGCTATGGGCAAGAGATTTTCCTCTCCTCCGCAGCATCCAGACTGGCTCTGAGGCCCACCCAGCCTCCTATCCAGTTTGGTACCAGGAGCTTTCCCACAGGGGTGAAGCGGCTGAGGTGTGAAGCTGACCACTGACCTCCATTTAGTGTTGAGGTCAAGAACGTTACAGATATATCTCCATTCCCCAATACATCTTTATGGTATGATGCTTAATTAAGTATGGGGACAACTTAACATTTTTTTACAGCTCAAAATATGGCACAAAACATAGTCAGCAGTCACATTTACTATATAACCTACAAAGTACTGTGGTGTTCATAGCGGTCATGGCATGATTTGAGATATTATTCTGGGATTGTCTTGAAGAGACCAAGAAAGATAATAAATAGCATCAGCCAAGATAGTCAGTCTCTGTGCTCAGATCTGAAGTGGAGCTCCCAAACACAAAGCAGTAGGGCTCCTGACTCAATTGCAGCATCTGGTTCATGCCCAGATTGTGACCAGCCCTGTCACATAGTTTGTAAAGTATTATTCTGTGGTGTTCGTGTTTTTAGGGATATACTGCATGAACACAACTTTCTCTTTGAACAAGACAACGATTTCACCTACTGAAGACTGTTCAGTTGTATGATACACTTCAGAAAATCTGAAGTTCATAATGTCAAATACTTATCTAAGCCTGAGAGATCTATCATAGCTGGAAACCTCTTAAATGTGCAGATCTTTGTTTCTGCAGAGTTTAGAATACATAAAAACCGACTGCACACTTCTATTTGAGGAAAAGGAGGAATAGCCTGTTTCCTTGTACTTTTTCTATGGAAATTGAAGTGGCATGCTTGTATCTTATTAATTTATTTTTATTTATAGTTCATTTAACAACACTGTCACTGAGGACGTTAGTGTAGCAATAACACTCTAGACTCAGATTTGTGAGACATTCAGTTCAAGTGTTGGCTGGGACACAGGCTATCCTGACTGAGGTGTTTCATCATTTTTCTGACCTTATAGGCAAATTGTGGGATAGTAGCTCAATTAGGACATTCATCAATCATCCTACCAACAACATAAAACAAAACAGAGGCAATGTGAGTAGCTCAGAGTACACAGGGCCAGTGGTTACTGGAAAAGAAGTGGAAGAAGCGGTAATGGCCTGACTTGAGGTGCTATGTGCCTAGAAAGATGAGAAAAGCCATTACAAATTGCACTCTGTCATGCCAAATTATCCTAACTCATGAACATGAAGACGGCCAGATGGGCCTTGTCACGTTTACTTGCTATGAGTTCAAACGAAATTGTGCATGGAATCCGACACTAATCACTCACTTTTTGTGTACGAAAAGCCACACAGATAACGTACTATATTCACCGAACTTCATCTCTATGGTAGATGATAATTCTTCTGTGTTGGGTGGTGGCTACAGCGATACAGAATGCACCCAACATGGAACAAGAACTAAATACAACACGAACTCCAATGGTGATTCTTTCTCTGATCTGCTCCTTTCAGCTTCCCTCCACTTCACCTCTGTTCCCTCACAATCATCATTTCTCCCATTCACCCTGCCCTTAAACGGTGGTCATTTAAAGAATCAATATTCATTACTCTCACTGGGCCACTTAGAATCCAGTCCTAGTCTCCCTTCTCCTTATACCCGTACTATTTCTCCCATGTTCAGCTTGTCTGTCTAACCTCAAGACACTGCAGCAACTTCCTCCAAAACATTGGTAATGATCTGCCATATTACATGATGTCACATCCCAGAAGACAAGATACAGTTGTGTCATCATCAGATTACTCTGCATCTGACAAATGTGGCAATGACTAGCTCTTTATACAAGAGCACAGTAATGTATTCTTCTCTTTGGATTTGTATGAAGACCTACACATGAAATTGTGAGGTGCTGTAATGGTACAGTGTTTGATATCAGAATCACAGGAGAAGCTGGAGGGGGGCTGATCAGTCAGCCAGATTCTTAGACTCTGATGCTGACACAGTAAACTGTTGGTAAGGTTCTTGTAACCATACAATTTTTACCCATATAAGCGATCATGAAATGTGCGCATAGTGCAACAATTCTGACCCGTTGTCCCCCCTTTCTCCAAAACTTTTTAACATGAATTCAATATACTTATATAATACATTTTTAATATATCCTTGACATTTTATACATATATTTAATTTCAATACTTATATTTAACTCGAGGCACAATTCTGTTACAAAGTATGACAGGTTGTACCAAATACGGATCCATATTAGGAATTCAATGACCCTAGATGTATTCTTGCATCACTGCCTGATGATGGTCCTGTGAGACCGAAACATGTAGCAGGAAATAAATATTAAATTGCAAAATACTGATTATATATCACTCTGTTGTGGCAATAGCTAACCTAACCATATATTTTTGGGACGTGCAATAGGATGCACGCTATGAAGATGATTACTGAACATGTCCTGAGTTTATTCATGCAAAGAGTTGAACAGATGGAGCGATCTTAATAGACGTTCTGCAGGGATGAAAACACAGTTACAGAAACTATTAAATCACATAATTATGTGATACATTACCTCTCACAAATCATTCAATGCAACATTTATGCTTTGGAACTTCTGTGCATTTTCTGAAGAATTTGCCTTTCTACTGATCAGTTACCTTGGACACTTGACAACTTAACAAGGCTCCTTACTTGTATATGCTTACCTTCCTGCTGTACCTTATAGGGTTCATGTAAATGTATGACTACTGGTCGTGTGAGTAGTTATGTTGGGGACACACATGACAACACGGACAATACCATGCACAATAACCTGAGGATTAAGCGGAGGAAAACTAAACATGATTTTGGAAGCATACTTACTGCAATACAGCTGTTATTACGGTTACTATCAGAACAACAGAAAAGGAAGCAAACCAAGTTCCATTTGACACATGGTCCCTGGTCTAGCATTACCATAGATCGAGGCTCAACTCTGTATACGATATAAATAATCAGCGGTGGAGCCACTTACCTGCCATTCCCATGCCTGAACAATGCAAGTATTTCCTCAAATGTCTTGTTTTTCGTCTCGGGAACCTTCTTGTATGTGAAGATCCAGAAGACAGCAAGAAATGCACTGAATGGAAGGAATGTGTAGTTCTCCAGTGAATTCTGTAACCATACAAGATGCATATTTCAGCTGATTCCCGAGAGTGGCATAGACTTTGCTCTTCTCGCCAGTGTCCAGACTGGCTCTGGGCCCTATGCAGTGGGTACCAGAAACATGTGGGGTAAAGTGGCTGTGGCATAAAGCTGATCAAACACCTCTATCTACTGCCATTGCTATGAATGTGTGGAGATGTACCTCCACACTCATATGTCATCATGTCATAGTGCTTAATTGAGCACAGGGACAACTTTACCTTTTACTTTTATAGCTGATATGGTAAATTAACCCTTTCATTGTTAGAATACCACTGTGCATTAGCCAGCATTCACCCAAGTGGCAGCATCTGCACATCCCTACACCATCTTACCTCTGCTTGTTAAAATATACTACTTGGCTTGTTTATGTTGTTACCGTGATCAGTTGTGGACATTAAATTGCATCTTTACTGTTTGCGTCATGTTGTGTATTACTATATAGTATTATTATATGACAGTCGGCACAACAAATGAATAATAAACAAATCATGTATGATTATATTAATATTTTTATTTGTGCATTTTGCTATATGTTTCAATCAAACTGTATCATCATCAAGAAAATATTCATGAAAAGTACTACTTGTATTAAATTGTACTGCTAATTTGGATCTACTTTAGCGGTCATAAATATAAATGTACAAATAAACAAATATTAATATAGTAACACATGAACTGTTTATTATGACTTTGTTGTGTTGATGGTTGTATAATACTATATTAAACTGCATACAGACATGGAAGGATGCAAAAAGTTATAGGGCAGTGAATGCCAGGTGTAAACATTTAAAGCTAGATACAGAATTACTGAATTTCCTGAATTTCTCTCTTGGGGTTTCATTGGTTGGGCATGTAGATATAGTGATGCAATGGCAGGCGCTGTGATTTCTTTCAGTGGCACTTTGCCCAACACTGATTCTGTGCCTGCTTCAGACATTTGAAACCTTTCCTTTATATACTATTATTTCCTTATCGGGGTAATTTGTTTTACTCTTCAATATGTTGTAATGATTATTCTGCCTGCTGAATGCCTGGGAGGCAGCTGGTTGGAATCTGGTCTTGGAAATCAGCTTCATAATGAGTCTTCCTGCAGATGACCTGAAGTAAGTCCTTTAGAACAAGCAGCAGCACCTTCTTTCCATATTTTTTGTACTTCATAATTAAAAAGCAGATCTTGTGTTAGTCTGAATGTGTCATATATAGGGCCCATGAATTTTATGGAGAGTAATTTAAGTAGTAGTAATAATAATAACAACAACAACAAAAACAACAATAATAGTGACATACACTTGAATAGAACTGTGTGGAAACATACATACAAATAACAATAACACCACCACACCGATATTCATAGGCCTAAACAAATCAATACAAAAAGCAAGGATGTCGCAAAAAGAATATGGCGCAAGGAAGTATAAAGAGAGATGTTCTCAAGCTCAGCAATTTCTTTCATGTCTATTCCAATATTACGCTCCTGTCCACAAAGTATGTAACTGCAGATGTTACGAATGTTCAGTTAGTGCATTTTTGAATTAATGTATTTAAAGAATTATGCCCCCTTTTCAATATAAATAATAAATCTTTGCCATAATAAAATATCCTGGCAAACCAACTCCTTGGTCATCAACCACTACAATATGATCACCATTGCCTAGTAATATCAAACAACCTGTCCATTCAAATGATCCTCATTCTGTCATCTGAGTGTGCTGGTTATGTATATGTCCATCTACACCAATTTACAGAAAACTGGGTTTGAATTAGGCGATCAACTGCAGCTTGCATGCCACATAGAGCAAAACATATTCTGAAATCTCACACTTGCAAGTAAGGTAAATCTATGGAAGTATATAGAGACAGTGCAACACATTGCAAAGAATTTGAAAGGCGCATTTTCTTAATTTTGGTCCAGATGTGGAGACCGAGTGCTCCAGTTCCTTCCATGCCCTTCTCTGTCTGCTACACTTTCAAAAACCGTTTGAACCGTGTTAAATGTTAGTAATAAGTCCATGTTTGTTGGCTGCATAAACCATCATTTAATTTGTATTAATGACAACAGGAAGAAATAATATGAAACTGAACCACACAATTCAAATAAAGTGATGGAGAGTACCTTCATCGTTGGGAAGCCAATGCCAACAAGAAAGTTGGCCATCCAGTTGATGAGCACAGCGATGGACATGGCAGCAGGACGTGGACCCTGGGAAAACAGCTCGGCAGTGATCATCCATGGGATCGAGCCTGGACCCACAGCGAAGAAAACGACGAAGCTCAGCACTGACACGACTGACAAGTACGACATCCAGTCAATCATTTCCTGGACGTAACCAAAAAACTCCTATCAGGCGATGGTATGATGTTCTGCTTTCCCAAAATGCTGGAGGAGACAAGGTACTACAACCGAACAACATACAAAGTAAAGACTCCCCCTTCACCAAGCAGTAAACAAAAGAGGCAAGCAGGGTGCTATGTGTTCCTCTCCTCCAGACAATGTCAGGAAAGTTGTCGTGGACAAGAGAGGGAGGGCAAGAAAACAGGCAGTGAGGGTGGAAGCAAGGTAAATGACACCATGCAAACCCAAAAACTAGACAGTACATCAGAAGAAGGGAAATCATAAGCAAACCTTCTTTGAATTATTCAGAAAATAAGCAGAACTCTATTACGTAAAAAGAAAAAAGCAAAGTCATGGTAATACATGTCACTGATCCAGTGATGTCCCTCTTCTGCCATAAACTTTACAAATATACTGCCACCACATGATTGCATGCTGATCATTATATCTTTTATCTTTATAGTCTTTGACATCACGTCAAGTAGTTTGCATGTGGGAACAACAGATGGCAGGAGTTTTACAGTTTCCATATCAAAATGTCTTTTATATTTCACTTTTTAAATTTTTGCAAAAATTATAGCTGGTAGGAATGAGGGTGGAAGTAAAGAAAGTGTGAAATTGTTAATGTGGTTCTCTTGGAAACAAGAGCATAATGAAGTAACAGCATGGATATCCTTTGGATTTTAAATGGCTGAAGGAAACTTGCCATGACTTGGGATTACTGAGTTTCTGGACTTTGTCTATTGCCTAGCATTCTGAAAGAGCACAACTTTTCAGGAACTGGATATGTTTCTGTCTTCAGGAGAAAGGGTGGTGAAGCACCTACCCAATCAGGTCCAACAGAAAGAGTTAAGTGATTCAGATCATCCCTTGCTGGTGTCTCCCCACCTGATCAAATGCGGATGGAAACAGATCCAATTTCCAACATGTTCTGTTCTTTCAGAATACTATGGGATGGATAGAATCCAGAAACAGTAATCCCAAGAATAATAAACCATCAATAGAACCCTTTAAAATTCATTTGCCATGACTTGGTTTGAAACTCAAAAGGTATTAGCACACAAAGCTGCTTGCAGGGTGAATGCAACATAGAAAGACTCAATGAGCATGCAGGCATACCAACAAGGTGTGTTTGATGGCACGCATACCCTGTACAGAAACTGCAAAGAGAAACAACATGACTGCATTGTGGAAATATATACACACAGGAGGGCAATAACAAAAGCATCAGGAAAATCTTCACATGTCCCTTACACTACTATTTTTAAGTTAATTATTTAATAACACTGTCAGTACTGAGACTATAGAGTGTCGTTCTTACACTGTAATAGTTTACAAACACATATTAACACGATGTTGGCACAGTAAAATCCGCTCATACAATCAGAGGCATCAAAGCTGAGTTAAAAATCTACATTTCAGAGATTTTATCTGTCTCCACATCATGGCTAATGTGTGGAGTGATGATATAATCAAACACCCAGTTAATATTATGTAAATGTTTTATATTATTTGCATTTTTTTCTTTCTTTGATATGTGATAACTCTAGAGCATATTCATTAGGAATTTTATTTCTGGTGTTTTGTGCTCTTATGGATGACATGAGTTATTAGTTTCTATATACACAATATTTACAATTAATTTATTTTGCATTTTAATAATAATAAAGTCCAGAAAATTAAAAGACTGTTTCCTTTTTTTTTTACATGTAAGTTTTAAGAAATCAAAGTCCAGGAAGACCTCTGGAATGTTGATTGAATTATGTTTTTGTAATATCCATAAGAATTCTCCATAGGTCTAATACCGGAAAGGAATCTTACTATTTTTATATCAGATCAGGTTACCTAGTCATTCACCACATTAACCCTGACAAGGGAGAGAGGGTAGGTCTCTGAAATGTTGGTTTTTAGCCAAACCCTTGATGCAGGTGATCTTCAATGAAGATTTTGATCGAGTTATTTACTGTGAAACCCTGAAAAATGACATGACATAACATTGAATTGAACTAAATTGTTAGTAATAAAGACATGAATCAATCCAGTCATCTAATGTGCACTGATACATTCTCTATGTGTCTAGAGAACCGAAAATAGTTTTTCATCATGTAAAAAATTAATATTTTCAAGGTCTCACTACAGTTTTTGTGATCTGTTATCCAGTTCTTGGATGATGATGATGATGATGATGATGATATCTTACTATGTTCTGTTGCCAGTCCCTTTGCTCCAATCACAGAGGCTTCCAATCAGCCTACAGCAGCATAATGCCATACCCAAAAATTAAACTATGAATCACATATGAAATCTTGTCTCTTAGCATCTTCTAAGGCTCTCTGTACTTTTCTATGAATACTCTTTACAATGTATTTTTATTGATCTCTGCCATTAATATTGCTGTTTATATTTACTGAAAGGGCAAAAGCTTTGTCTACAGCAGCGAGTTTCAACTTCTTGAATCTTCAATTTGACTGGCATTTTCTTACAGAAGGAAGCGTTTCCACCACATAACTTCTATTTTTCTGTACATTTTAGCACTATATTAATATTTATCAGAAATTCTTATTTTTGAGACCTGATATCCTACCCAGCTGACCCTCAAGTTCCACCAGTAAGATTCAACCCACTGGTTGAGAAACACTGGCTCACTCACCCATCATCAGTAGTCTGTTTGGTAAGACAATAGATTACACTACACAAAAACTTATGTACACAGACATGTGGTTGAGAAGCTGAAAGAGGTAAGAGTGAGAATTTAATTATCATATGCTGGCAGCAATGCCGCTCAAAACAGCACAGACTTTGTGTAACAATTGTAATCCAAATTCATCCCATTACAGTTGCATTCACAAAAACATTAATGTGCAGCTGTCTGTCCAAAATGTGAGATTTCACGTTACGAGACAAGATGGTCAGATCATACTTGCAACTTATGCGTAATAATCGAGAAATAAAAAATGCACATCTGAATAACCCCACTGTCTGTCACTATGATCTTAACTACCTCTATGGACCTGAATCCTTGAGAAGCTAACAGACACTCCACTACTTAAGAAATTCCCAGCATTTTTGTGGAACCAGAAGTTTCATTACCACGTTCACAAGAACTCGCCATTGCTCTGTCCAGAGCCAGATGAATCCAGTCCACACTGTACCATCCTACTTCCATTTAATATTATTATCCCATCTATGCCTCAGTCTTCAAAGTAATCTCTTCCCTTCACATTTTTCTACCAAAACATTGTATACACTTCTCTTCCATGTGTGCTATATGCCCTGCCAACTCATCCTTCTCGATTTGATAATTCTTATAATATCTGGTGAGAAAGTTCCACAATATGCAATTTTCCCTTGTCTTCTGTTACTCCCCCCACCCCCTCTTAGGTTCAAATCTTCTCCTCAGCACAGTTCTCACACACCCTCAACCTTCCATTGTACATGATGTACATTGCAATAACTGTACACCAATGCAGTACATCAATGCGATGTGACTGGAGTACAGTATTGCATTCAGCAGAGTAAAGCATCAGTGCTGTAGGCAATGTTAAGAACACAAATGGCTACTAGATATAGGTCAGTGGTATAAACAAGGAAAGGATAAGAACTTACAAGAGAAAGCAAAATTTCTCTGGGGCAGGAGATGTTCCTTTTCACCTATAACGACTTCCTGCAGCAACAGCAGGCTACCTCCACCCCAAAGCATGTTATATGGAAGTTATCAAGCTATCATTAATTACCTCACACAAAGCACCAAGAAATCTCATGCTGAGTTTCAAGTCTGTGGTGACCAAACACATTGTGACTTGTGAATAACATGCCCTCTATATATTGTTTCAAGTGGGGGGGAGGGGAGCAGAAAATGTGATAGTTTATGATTATTAGGCTGAAACTACTGGAATGCCCAGTGGGAACTAAATGGGAAAATCTGACAATCCTGTGTTCAGTTATGGCTCCCACAGATAACCCCCAACTGATTCACCATAACACTTTATTGCCCTCAGAAGAAATTTTGAAATTATGATTTCACTGAATATACTAACTATGATCTGAAAGTTTCAGAAATGTAGCTGACAGAACAAGCAGAGTAATAATTGTCCAGAGGTACCGTTTTATGTCAAAGGTTGGCACTGTAATACCAACTAAAAATGGCCATTTATTGCTGTTATTTTGTCTTATCTCAGTTTCGTACTTGGTTTTTGCGAAAGTGACTTACTGACAATATGAGAGAGAGTTTCCTGCTTAAGAAGAGTTCTGTCTTCAGGGATATAATGCCATGTAGTCCAATGAAAATTAATTGACATTTCAGAGGTACGTCACTTAATCTTCAAAGTCAAAGAGTACACCAAGTGAGAAACCAAGGTAGCTCTGCTTTCTCGCTTGACTTATTGACCCTGAATATGGAGGTAACATTTTCTTCAAAATGTCCATTAATTTTCAATGGCCTACATAGTGTTATATCCCTGAAGACAGAACTCTTCACAGCCACAGTTGGGAGAAACTAAAATCCTTCAATGTCCTGTTTAGACTAATTATGCAGAGATAACATGTAGGTAGTTCAAACACTACCTGGAAATTTGACTGTTCCTCATACACAACAATGCAGTTTGATATAAGAAGTGTGCACAGTACCTACATCTCAATGATGAAGAGGTTATGCTGAAGAGAATAAGAACTCTGCATTCTGTACAAAGTAAGACCATTCACAGATATGATGAACAAATTAAAACATCTGCAGTCATCATAGTGATTTGGCTGTAGACAAAGTAATGATTTATTTCTAAGGGAATTTCTGTTTCATAAAATAGGGGATTAAAGACATGGGGAACAGCAGATGGTACAATGGGTACCTGCTACAAATTTAAAATTCATGAAGAGAAAAGCGAGACAAGACATAGTCTTTTATTGAAAGAGCAAATAGTTCATGATAGGTTTGAGAACTATAATGATAATTAAGTATTCATTTCCAGTGTCAGGTGAAGAGGTGGTGAGGCACCTACTTCAGCCTATTAGAAAAGGCAGATCCCAGTCATCAGATGAAACAGGTACAGTTTTTGAATAATTGTGTTGTGTGGAAGAGCAAAGTCTAGAAACTCAGAAACACCATCTGTTTCAGTGTGTCTCACTGATGTCATGTCAGACTGACATGAGTGTATCCTCAGTTCACAGTTCTGACAACCAGTGCAGTCTGTTTCCTGTGTTTGGTCACCCCATCTATACATACACAGAACATGCTTCTTCATACTACACAGACACCAACCGCACTAGGAATTGTAAACCCTTCATGTTATCCAAATACAACTTTTGTCAGACAGTCATAAGGGCTTTGTTACACAAAAGAAAATAACAATAAGAATAATGATGGGAGTGGGCCCAACTCATACATGTAGAGATCTATTCAAAAAGCTTGTCATACTAGCAATGCCATGTGTATATTTGCTCTCATTGATGACATTTGGTGTTAATAATTTGGATAAATTTCAAACCAGTAACTCTGTATATGTCATAGGTACCAGAAGGAATGACCACCTTTGTATACCTTCAACACATCTATCATCCTATCAGAGGGGTGTATTATTCAGGCATCAAGCTCTTTCATATTCTGCCATCAAATACCACAGTTTTAAAAAATGATAAAAAGCAATTTAGGTTTGTTTTACGAAATTATTTGCAAAGTAATGCATTTTACTCAACTGATGAATTTGTCGAGCATGTAAGTGGCTCAAAGAGTTAATAAATGATCTGTGTGCATGAATTACACATTGTTGAGACTTGCTTGTTGTAAGTGTAGTAGTATGTATGTCTGTTTTTGTTATGAATTTTAATATTTTATGACGTAACTGTTTGGATGATACGGCTTGCCAGTGTGTGTGGAATGGCAAGGTGTGATTTGACAGTGGTTTCTTCACGACCTATGTCTGCTGTCCTGACAACTTGAGCTATTCTGTCTTAGTCTTTATTTTATATTTTATTGGACCAAGGACGAATGATGTGTAGTCATCATGAATTTGTAATATGTGACATGTTTTATATCCAGCCTTAAGGGGAGATGATTGGATCCATGAGGTGAAAATAACTGTAAATGTCTCTAGAAATGGCAAAATCACTAGACCTTGAAACACCCTCAAATCAGGGGATGTAACAGACCTGCCACATCTCACATACAGTAAACCTTAGTCCTCTCTACTGAAATACTTTTATCAGTACTACCTACAGGCAACTCAAATTTCTTTCAGTAAAAAACCCCCATTTACTTTTTTGTTATAAGAAAATATTAAGTTGATGTAGAAAAATTAGTAGAAATTGGTGCTTTCCATTGTATGTCATGTACTACAGATGACAGGGAGACACATGGTACTGAATGACTACAGTACACAATCACAAAAACTTCATTCCATAAAACAATTAGTTTCATTACAAGTTTTGGTCACTAAATGATAATAATCAGCTGAAAAATCATACATGAATATATAAAACAATTTCAACATGATGTTCAACTGGTGACCAAAACACATAGCAGTACTGACTGTGTCTTATGGAACATAATCTGTATCACCATATCCTGCCAACTATTTGTACACGTAACAGATTACAATGCAACATTATAAAGTGGAGCCAAATGTTTGCTAGCGCCTGATAAATTACCACTCTGCCTATGGGGTCCCATTCTTGTATATCCAGAGGGCAGACCTTTCTACTCTTTTGGGGAGAGTATTGTAATATGGCGGAACTTTGGATAATCCAAACATGGCAATAAAATGAAGTTGACATATGTGTCAGTACAACACTATTACGTGTTGAGACAGGAACGGGAAGGGTTAAGACGTTATTTTCTCTGAACTCACAACTGAGCGATGTCGACATTATGTCCTCCAGCAAAGACTTACTAGTGTACTGATAACACCTTAAAACAACTATATGAAAAAAGTTACAAACTCTGTTCATAAGGAATAAAATAAATGACAGAATTCCATGACTGTAGTGTACGCGCATATGTGAACAATATAATGTCGCAGAAATCTGTGAGTGCTGGCTTCATTCCTCAGTGACACCATGCTACCACACAAATCCTTACCCAAATCTTTCTTACAAACCTTTATGAGAAATGAGATGGTGATAAAAATGGAGAAGATAAACATGCCCCCAAGGCCGTAGAGGTGAAGTGTCCGCCGCCCTGTACGATCCATGAGCGGGATGGACACCAGTGTCATTCCCACCATGATGGCTCCGATGCCAATGGTTGCAAACTTAGCACTCTCTTCTGTGAGCCCGGAGCTAATGAAGAGTAGTGTGGAGTAGTAGAACACCTGCAACAATTACAGCACTTGCTATCAGCATTGCCGGCACTTCACATTTCACTTCACATTTCACCTCACATTACATGTGTCTTCTGTAACCACCACCATAACTTCTAAGAGCAAATAAAACAGATGTCCAAAAAGTAGAGTAACACAGCTTTTTGTGAGAAGGAGTTTACTCATTCCCCATGTGGAGGCAAGTTAGAATATCTCCACTGTGCCCTACAAGTTGCAGAAGGCGATAAAAGGGGAACCCAGTGCCTGGGAGTATAACTGGGCCACGCTGTTACTGGAGAACATAAATACACGGACCTGGTCCTCCAGGTTGGGGGTTCAACACAGGGCTGACAGTATTACTGTGTAAAAAAAAAATTATTGTTGTAAAATCCAAAGAAGCAAAAACTTAATTCAATCTGGCGGAATCTTCTAAGGAGGGCTATGGCTCAGAAAGTGCTGTTTTGTCGGTGATGATGTTGACTTTTAATTGTACAGTTATGACATTAAATGAGAGACAATGCACATATTTGTATTATTTTTCAACATAATCACCCTGTCTATTAACGTATTCATTCTCTGAAAATGGTGCTGTTTTAATGGCCTGTATAAATGGAAATCAGAGCAGTGTCACATGCTGAAAAATAGCACAAATGTGGGCATTGTCTGTCATTTAATGTCATAGCAGTAAGATTAAAAGGATCCTCAAAAAAAATTGTGTTACATTACTTTTCAGGCCCCCTCATAAGAAAGCATAAAATTCCCAGTTATTAATATTTTCTCTTCCCCAGTTGGGTCAAAATACCCCCCACAAGCACACAAAATTTGAGAACACTCACAGCATTGATCCCCGAGAGTTGCTGTGAGAGCTGCATCACCACTCCAATGATGAGAGGCGATCGCAGTGTAGGTGAGCAGATAAGCTCCATCATGGATATGGTGGCTTCCGCTTGTTGTGCCCGCTCCTCTGCCCGCATCTCTTCAATGTCCTCCTCCACTTGGTTCGATGCGCGAAGTCTCCGCAATGCTGAAACACCCCACAGATGCAAACATTTTACTTTCCTGATGCAGCATGTGAAATGCCGATATTACCTATGCAAGCAGGGACAGCGCAGTCAGCATAGTGATTGGCTATGGGCTGGATGACTGAGGGGTCAAGAGTTATGACTGCTGTTGCAATACATGGACATCTGATACTGTTGGATATGAGGTTCTCACAGGAATGACTGTATGGAGTACTATCCTCTGGGCTACAATGCCATGTAATTCAGTTTTGGAGGAATGTACTAACTCCGTCTTTGCTTATTGCCAGCTTCTCAAGCACTACTTGCTTGGCTTACCTTTAAATCCTGTAGATGAAGGCAATATATTCCTCCAAAATATCAGTCAACTGCTGGACTACAAAGTGCTAACACATAAGGTGAGTAATCTTCATACACTGATGCTTCATGAGATCACAGTTTATTAACGTTACAGTCACATATGCATACGCACATTTACATAGCATAGCTTAGGGGAAAACAGTGCTGGAGTATACACATTTTTAAATAAATTGCCCAATTTACATGATAGATGCAGCCTGAAGGGTGAGCACATAATTCAAAATTTTTGTTACTCCTTTGGTTTCACTGCCATTGACCTTTATTTGCCATATTTAAATACTCTTTTATTATGGCGCCTAAAGCTGGGTTTAAACTTGGCGGTAATGAAATTTATATGGTAAACTTGGCCTTCAGAAGCAGCAGGTGCCGGCACACATGTGTGACACACAGACAATAAAGATAAATTTTCTATGTAATTCAGTTCATTTGACTACCAATCATTTTAGCATTTTCAAACCAAAATTCTTTCATTTTAGACAAATAATTTAATTATTTTTTAGTCCTCATTAAAAAATGAAATTAAGAAAATTAATATGAACTCACATGAATGCAAATATCATGTAAACTGAGGGATACCTCTGTATTTTTCATCATTTCACAGAATTCAGTGACATGTATGTTTACCTGTTGCAGATATAAATTTATTAAAGGTTCCATCTTCTGGGACACAACAACATATAGTCTGCTGAAAGCCAACTGATATTTGTGAGGGACATGTTGCTTCCATTTTCAGGGTTGCAAATAAGCCAAGTAAGAAACGAACATAAAGCAGGTGGCAAGCAGAGCATGTAGTCTTGTTTAACCTTTATGAGCCGAAAGACACCGTATAGGGACCTTTAAAGTAAAGCCGAGTGGCCGAAAGACACCTTATGGTGACTCGCAGTCCACGCATGCGCACAGTGTTTTAAAATCTAATTTTAAGATAAAAATTCTTGTTCTACTTGCATTATTTTTGGACACCAGCTTTATAAGTAGACTGTCTTCCCTTCTGCGTCATCTAACTGAATGTTGCCTTCATGTGGAACTGTTGGAAACATCCGGAAATGCAGAGTCCAACATCACACTTCATGCATTTTGTCCGGATGTAACTTCGTTTCCTATGCGAAGAGCACACATGACATCTCAATCTTGAAGTAGAGGAAGTCGGCCAGTGATGCCAAGAGGCCTCCTCTAATCGGGATATCGCCGATGACACAGCAGGAGGTCAACCCATGGACCGTTGAGGGTGAGGTGGACCCCTTGCAGCATGTTCCAGCATATTGCGCACAAGGGCGAGACTAAATTCTCTGTGTGACAATTTCGTGCCACAGGATAACAGGATGAAACTGTTCAGAATTGTCATATCCAGGAAATGGAAAAATAGTTTATTTGTCCATTTCCAGGTCCGATGACTGATGCTATAACTGTTTGCCATTCTGTCCGCTTTGTCAACATAACCCATGTGCATGTTGTAGTTGGCAACAATTGCTGGCTTGATGGCATTTCCATGCTCATCACAGAAACTGCCTTCTGCTGGAGGACAGTGCATGTTTGTCAGTATGTAAACGTCACGTTTGTCCTTCCAAACTATTGCTGTCAAGTTCTGTCTCACCCTAACACAAATGTCACCTTACTTCAGTCAAAATTGTCTTCGTCGAAAATCATCAGGCAAGCCCTTCCGATTAGGTCTGACTGTCCCACAGCACGTTATGTCCTTTGTCATCAGTTCCTCAAACAAGTCTGGTGACGAAAAGAAATCGTCCATGTACAGTTTGTGACCTACGCCCTCAATATGTCTGCATAGGTCCCTAACTGTAGCATGTGTCGCTGTCACGTCTTGGTCGGCACGTGTCCTGTCTTTTCCTAGATAAACCTTCATGTCATAAGTATACCCAGCGGCATCACAAATTTTGAAGATTTTGATTCCGAAACGTTTGTGTTTCTTAGGAATGTACTGCCTAAAAACCACCCTCCCTTTGAATTTAACAATTATCTCGTCTATGGCCAAATGTTCGGAAGGGTTATAATATTTTTCATATGTGTCATTGAGAGTGTCGAAGATGGTCCGAATTTTCCATAGTTGGTCATAACTGTCGGCATTCCTGTCAGTTTCTGTATTGTTGTCTGCAAAATGAAGAAAATGAAGAATGTGTAGAAAACGGTTGCGTTTCATTGTGTTAGAGTAGAAAGGCATGGAAAATTGTTCTGCAATCGACCAGTAGTCCTTTAGTCAGTCTCTAATGTCATGTCCCATTTCAATGATTATTCCTAGAAACAGAAACATCTCGGAATTGGTCACGTCAGGCCACGGAGAAGGTCCGTCTTGAAGTTTGTCTAGGTACTGGTGGTAGCACCTGTTCGTCTTTTCCACCAGCAGACGGATAATCCCTGCGAAGTAGAGCATGAAAACGCAGAAAGGGGTGGAATCCTTATTTACGTGTGGAGCTTCATTGATACTTAACCACACAGCTCCACTGGAATAATTATTCGCACGCCTCCTGCCATGCTGGTGTGGTGGTCCCCAGGTTGCCGGTGAAGATGATGGGTCTTCATCAGCTTCAATTTCTGAATCTCTTTCTTCCTCGCCGCTCTCTGTGGTTTCTGTGGCACAGTCTGAATCGGTGTCATTTAGCAGCTGGTTCTCAATTTCATCTTCTTCCAAGTGAAACGAGGCCAGGGTGGAAGTTCTTTTCACTTCACAATGCACTACGCTTGGAAGTTCTGGCAGTACTGTTTATACAGTTCGTAGAACAGTATCCTTGTGGCTCCTCTCAGATATAAACAGTCTGAGAGTGTCAAGGACAGAATACGATAGTTTTTCCTCCAGACTTGTGTATACAAAGAGGGTCCAGTACTTGGAATGTGTTTTATAAACAGAAGCTCCCAACCTACTTGCAGATAAGATGGTACAAGAGTACGAATGATGTCAGCAGCAGGCATTTGTACAGCAGAAACGTTTTGTGCAGAAACTGTATGCATATTTGTGGACACGTTCGAAATTGAGGGAATTTTTTTTTTAGAATCAGTGTAACAATTTTTACAGATTCTAAAACCTGTAAATTAGAATATCTGATTCTATATTCTTTCTAGATAATAGCAGCGTTTATTTCGTTCGTTTATCACAAAAATTGCAGAAATCACAGCATTTTCAGTAACATGATTACAATTTTTGTTACTCTACAATGGCGGGCATTTGAATTAACTCCAGCCCGCGGCCATTACCGGAACTTAAATGGCCCGTCTCTTAAAGGTTAAAGTCAACCAACGTTTTGGAGCAATATTTTTCTCTCCAAGTGTCAGGTTATTTTAAACAAACTACAAGTATATGGTCTTACATCCCAGAAGACAGAACTCTTCTTAACCTCCTGTGGGAATCTCAAATCCTAAATGAAAAATTTAAGTTCAGATGGGCTGTGTCATTTACCTCTCCTGGCCTCCTCTTCCCACTGTCTGGTTATGAGCAAATAGCGTGGGGACTCCGGGCACCAAGGCAACAGCACAAGCTGTAGGATGGGGGGACACACTGCAAGACCTGCACACACAGACATATTCCCTCCATCATTATAGTTACAGTGTATAACAGAGTTCAAATGCTGTGTCCAAAACATCTTTGAGCGATCATCATCACTAGATAAAGACACAGATTGTTATGTCATCATCAGAAATTTCATAGGTTTAGTTTTCAACATACAATGGGAACCACAATTGTCATATTAGAGATCTAGTTCAACACAGAGGGATTTTCTCCTGCTCAGTTGCCTACACAAAACATGACATACTATCAGATATGTTTTATACATGCAATATAACAAATTGATGCTTAAATAATAATTAATTCCTTAATAATATTTCCAATAAATTTCACATTTCACAAATATCTACATGGCTCCACATCCCAGAAGACGGCATTCTTCAAATTTCACTTATTTATTATTTAACAATATTGTATCAGCTGTAGAAGTTATCTGATATATACAAAAATATTAATTTTCCTGTCAGTATTCTGTCACAATATCCTTCTCCCTATTATGGACTGAAGAGAAATCACCCAAACGTACCATGAAGTTTACTGCACGCTGTTCCGCGCATGTACAATAGCCTAGGCTACAACTGCAACGTAGAAACATCGACTTTTTTTTTTGTGTGGATGGGCTTCAAATCCGCATTCCTAACTCTGAGTAATTACATGAGCAAACTTTCTTTATGCTTAAAATAATGTGATAAATAAACATTTCTTTTAATTACATGTAGACTGCTTCATTTAAATGTGTTTGCATATTTACTATGGAATTAAATAGTATAAGTAGAGCAGACACTAATTAACGGTATATACAACTTTTAAGTGCCATTCCATCCTTACAGCTATAGATACTAGCCACGTTTATAGTTCTGTCCACGTTCAACAGAACGCGTGGTCCATCTGGTCATGTTCACTGAAATAAGGATGGTAGCACGTGTATGAGCTATAATACGAGTAGGCCTTTAATTACAGTGAATCAATCCCTGCCACAGTCCAGCTGCAACCACTACCCCACTATACCTTCCTATATTTGTCCTTACTTCTCCTTATATACCACCCACATGGCAGGCCTAAAAACATGGTCAGAGTTATATACTGTGATATGACAAGAAAATAACCATACACAGCATGAAAAATGCATATTTCTGCTTCTTCTGGATGACATAAGAGAACTATGAAATAGTGAGGAGTGGGTGAGGAATCATTCATGATATTGTCACATGTATGGGTGACTATAGATGGAGAATAGATTTATTGACCACTCGCAGGTTGTAACTACAAATAACTATAACAATATTGCTGAGTTACACACTACAAATCACTCAACACTAAGTCTTCTCAGTCTATTTCCACTAGTCTTTGCTTGCTAAAAGCTCCTCACAATGGCTATTCCACTGTTGTGTTTTCATGAGACGTTTTCTGGTAACGAATCCTAACAAAGAAGATTCTTCAGCTTCTGCTGTCTTCTACTGTCCACAGTTGAATCCTTAACTGCCTCCCGTAGCATCAACTGTCTTCAAGATAACTCTTCAGCATGGACCCCACAGAAAACACTTCCTTCTGTTGTCAAGAATGTGTGTGTATTGGCCTGTTACCTAGCAGCGGACATGTGCAAGCCACACAGAAAACCCTTCTTACAACACTGATCCTATTGTTGTGTGCGCATATTTCAGGCAGTGCCTAGAAATGGGTCTACATGTCACATTTCACGGTACTCTTAGAATCACATGGCAAATATGTAGTGACCAATGCAACACTGTTAAGAAAGAAAGCACATCATGCACAAATAAGTGAAAGTTCTGAGTAGAATTCATAAACTGTACTTTCTTACTGCGTCCACTTCCAGCTCTACAAATTTCTTGTTCTTAACATCATATTTACAAACTGTATCGTTCAGTAATGCAGCACTACTTTGATCACTGGTTAGAATACTGAACTCATATGCGGATGGTCACACAATCAAATCCTTCCCAAAACAGGTTTTTATTGCCTCTGATTATAAGCATGTTATACATATTATTACTATCGTCATCACTGTCAAAGTTATTTTATTTTTGGAACAATCTGTTATTTAAGTAAAGACTTTTCTATGATAAATTTGTTGAACATAACACCAAGGATTCACATCGTCACTATGTTTGTAATTGTTGATTATAAATAACACTTCACATAGAATTTGCAGTTTACAACATATTCGCATATCCAATTTCACATGCTTAGCTGCAATAGTTTATTAGTCATTACCATTAGTCATTAGCTAAACACAGGACTCATGCAGTCTGTATGTCCTTTCTTCAGCTTATAAACAAAAGGAATTATGATCATCTCAAGTTCCCTTCAATTCCAAGGTGTGACTAACCCTCATGTATCCACACTCACCTCACTGATGTCGCCAATATGAGTAACACTCTTCCACACTCACCTAGCAGGACAGGCCAGCCCTCGTCTGTCCCCAGGATCTGTTCAATTCCCAACACCTGGGATAACAGCAGTCCCACGGTCACTGCTAGCTGATTCACTGTACCAAGTCCGCCCCGTAGATTGAGAGGAGCAATCTCCGAGATGTACATGGGCACGAGGGATGTGTTTAGACCTGTCATTTTATAAAAGACAGCCTGAGATTATAACAATCAAGAGCGAGATGACTATATATACTGATGTTTTTTTCCCCTTGGCACTACAGCCCCGGTGGGCCTAGGCCTACCTCCATGAACTTCTCTGTTCACTTCTGTTTTTCTAGATCTAACACATTCGGTAGGACTCCTTGGGTGGGTGATCAGCTCGTCACAAGGCCTCTACCTGTACACAAACACAGAAAAATGCACACACACAAACTAAACATCCATGCCCTGAGTGGGATTCAAACCCACAATCCCAGTTTCCAAGCAAGCGAAGACAGTCCTGATGCTTTTGGTAGGTCACATTATGCAGCAGGAAGGTAAGGCAAAGTTATTCCTGGTCTTAATTAATCAGTCAGCAATAAAGATGTATAGGGGAGTGGGGTATAGCTCCACCATTCCTAACCTAAGCAATATATGGAGATAAGTCGTCAGCTTCATGCCTCAGGGAATAACTCCCTGTACCCACTGCATAGGAGGCTGGGTGGGCACAGAACCCTAATTCCTCAGTTGTCCAGTCCACAACCTAGTCACTGTACCAACTGAGCTATCCTGGCTCACGGCATCAAATGGTAGAATAATTACGGAATGATGAATAGGAACAGATGTGAAGAAAATGATCTTCACCTGTTTCAAGTTACTATCATGGCATTTGCCCGAAGGACTGAGGAAAACCATGAAAACCTCAATGAGGATAGCCAGTATCTCAACTGAAATTTGAAGCAGCTGCCTCCCAAATACAAGTCAGAAATATTATCACCTACATCAGTTTTCTCAGTTAGCAAGATGATAATGGCAATCAAGAATCCATGCTGTCTTTATTCAGGTGGTCAAAAATGTACCATTCTTACAGAAACATGAGACATATAACTGTTACAAATGTTTACCATTGGATCTGACTTAAACTTCAGAGCTTCATAATGTAATCTCTAACATTATCTTCATTCATTCATTCATTCATCAATGGCTCTACAGCCCTTTGCTGGGCCTTGGCCTCTTCTTCAGTTTTGTGATTGTTTTACACAGATGGTAGGAATCCTTGGGCAAGTGATCAGACCATCACAACGCCGCTACCCACATACAGGACAACACAAATACAGAATAAATGAACACACAGACATTCATGCCTTGAGTGGGATTCGAACCCATGATCCCAGTGTTTGAGCGAGTGCAGACAGTTTATGACTTAGGCTATGCAACCACTGTGAATGGCACATTATCTTGGCTGTGCAACCACTGTGACTGGCACATTATCTTGGCTGTGCAACCACTGTGACTGGCACATTATCTTGGCTGTGCAACCACTGTGACTGGCACATTATCTTGGCTGTGTGACCACTGTGACTGGCACATTATCTTGGCTGTGTGACCACTGTGACTGGCACATTATCTTCCCACCTGCAGTAAACTCCCAATCATACAGCATCAAAGCACTCAGAATTCTCAACCAACCAGCAAAAACTTCAAAGAAATTTTACAATTTTTATAGTTAGTCAGAAACATATTTGCATGTGCACATGTTCACCTGCCAAACAGTAGTTCTCCCGGCCACCACTAGCAGCACTGAGAGCTGTTCTACCCCATGCAGGTGCCATTACAGTAGAGTATACTTGAATCTGTGATTGCAGTACAGAATATGTATCCAGAAAATATGACCCATTAGTCCAGCACACCATGTAGCAAGGCCCCACCCCATACAAGAGCTTCAGTAAGAACTTATTGTTTTGACTTTGTACGGGGTTTCTGTATAAATGGGAAACAAATGAGATGTGTGACAGCTCACATATTCAATCTTTATGTCTAAAATTAAATAAGGTGTGTTATATTATAAAATCCTTGAAAGATGTAGTGAGTTTCTCTACGCTCAGGAATGTTTATTTTGCTAAATTTCAGTCCTTAATAAGTTATGGTTTGATTTTTTGGGGGGGAGAGTGTGAAAGCAGTAAAATACTGAAAATACAAAAAAGGATACTTCGATTAATAAAAGGCGTAAATAGTAGAACTACATGCAGACCAATCTTTAAAGATCTAAAGATCCTAACTGTTACCTCTCTGTACATCTTTGAGGTATTGTGCTACTTTCAGAAATTTAATCTGTATACTACTAGAAATTCAGATTTATATGAATATAATACTAGAAGAAAAGAGGACTTCCATGTACTAAGCTGTAGCACATCTACCTCTAAAAAAAGTGTCATAAATATGGGTATTAAAGCTTACAATAGATTGCCTTTGAAAATAAGAAAATTAAATGGATTCAAAGATTTTAAATATAAATTAAAATTATTTTTACTAGATAATCCATTTTATACAATGAAGGAGTTTCTCTTTGAGGGACTGCAGGATGAATAGAGAAACTCTGCTCAAAATCCTAAATGATGATTTGATGATGTGTTTTTATCCTTGATGAGTATGGTTGTGATGGTTACTTTAGTAACTTGATTTTAAAGTAGTATTTTTAAAGTCGGTCGATTAAGCATAAAGGCAAATAAACTTGAAATTAACTTATTTATATTTAAAATAATCCAAAATTTGTGTACTTGTATTCTGTATTGTAGTTTTAATTAGAGTATGTCTCTGTTGACATAGGAACCCTTTAGGCCGTGGGCAAAGGATTCCCGAATGATTGTACTACATGTTATGACTTGTCCATGTGTTACTTTGTAACAGTTACGGATGTTAATAAAGATGATGATGATGATGATGACTACCTACAGGACACTGCCATTCCAAATAGCAATTCTTCTCACTGAGACTAATAAATGGTCCCATCTGCAAAAGGTTCCATAATAAGGATGAAAGAGCCTCACACTCACATGTCCTATGTGACTGTAAGGTTTAACTGAATTAAGATGCTACAATCTGGGACCAGATTTCATGATACCAAATGACTACCAAAAGGCCCTCTGCCAGATTGAGAAAGGGGATACATAATATTCAAAAAACCAGTCATGGTGCAAGGGCCAATGTTGCTGACTCTTTAATTCTAATCAGATGGTACACTCCTGCCAATGGCTCCCCAGACAGAAGCAGGAGGGAGAGATACTAATCCACACATCAATGCTTATATCACAAAGTTATGAAACAAGCCATTAATTTGGTGCATCTTACCACAGTTCACCCCAATGATGAAGCGGCCCAGGAAGAGAAATTCATACAACTGGGATAACTTGGTGCACCCCATCAGCACAGCTCCAACTATCCCCAGTAAATTGTTTAGAAGTAATCCACCTTTTCTGAAAGAAAAATTCAAAACATGACTCAAATAAAATAATTCTGATCTACGCAAACAGCATCACCACTTCCCTAGATTATATCAGGACTATGAAGCACTCCATCAGTAAGACATCCTAATGAACAACTTACGGGTAGGTATGTCTTATGTGTCGGAAGTAATGACACAGTTTACAGATGTACACCTGTCATAAAAAACAAAATAAAATAATACATATGCCTCACTAGTATTTCTAGTGTTCCACTACACATTACAGTTCTAGCAAATCATAATCAGGAGGCCAGTCACTGCACAAACTGCAAGGTTGACAACTATCTCATGACAGTCTTCTTCAGTTAACCAAATTTATTTACTAAGTGATGCCAACCTATTGCAAGATAGCCATAATCCCTTCAATTGCATATTCACTATCTATCTGATGAAACTTATAGTGGAATAATAAAAATATCAACAATATATGAATATTGTTATTCGTTGTTTAGTGCAATGGATCTTTATCTACTACACAATGAGCTTCATAATTTGTACTCTTCTCCAAGTAAAATTAGAACAATCAAGTCAAGGAGGATGAGCTGGACAGGGCATGTAGCATGAATGGGGGTGAAGAGGCATGCATATAGGATATTGGTATAAAAGCCAAAAGGAGAGAGCCCACTGGGAAGACCAAGATGTAGGTGCTAAAGCACTGTATGCATGTATGTTAACATTGCTCCATTCAGCTCCTCCTCCTTGGTTATGTCACCTTAATGATACATGACAATAAGTTCCTCGTCATCTTGTTACTTCCTTTATCTTAGGTCCAAATATTCTTCCCAGCACCCTATTCTCAAACACCCTCAGTCCAAGTTCCCCTCTCAATGTAGGAGAGCAAGTTTCGAACCCATCTTACCTTCCAAATCTGTTGGCTATCATGCCTCCGCAGAAGCCACCCAGCATGCCTCCAATGGCAAATATGGAGACAGCCAGAGAATACAGCAGCTTCACAGAGTCATCCTGAATGTCCTCTCCATAGCGACTCTTGTACACATCTTTCATGAAATTCTCTATGTTCTGCAACACACACAGAATATCAGACGTACATCATACTGATTGAGGGCCCAAGAAGTTCCATATACAAGTATTCTTGATCTTAACATTCTGAGCAGGCTGGCTCAGGCAGTATGCTACTAACTCTCATTTGGGCTGTGCCCAGTTTGAATCTCATCTAGGCCAGTCATTATACTGACTACGGACTTCTGTGGCTTTACTCAGTCCCTCCAAGCAAATACGAGGATGGTACCTTGAACTGGGTCATGACCACTTCCTTCTACCTACTACTTGACGCTATACAGTATGAGCTACTGACAGCATTAGTAAATGAACCATAAATAAATAAATCATCAATCATCCTATCATTCGATACCATATAATTTCAGCAACTGAAATCATCTTTAAATAAACTGAGAATAAATAAAACTAACATCATCTTGGCCATGCCATAGCTCAAGTGGTTAGTCACTGGCTTCCCACTGTGGCAGCCCAGGTTCGATCCCGGGTCTGGTCAAGTGGGATTTGTGGTGGACAAAGTGGCACTGGGGCAGGTTTTCTCCGAGTACTTTGGTTTCCCCTGCCAATCTTCATTCCACCAATTGCTCCACAATCACCCTCACCTATCATCTGGGGCTGGTACAATAGGCCAGAAGTGGCCGCAGTACAAGGGACTGAGTCCCACCCCACTAGCAAAAAAAAAAATTACCTTCCTGTGGGATTTCTAAAATTAAATATAGAAAAGGTTCAGAGCATTCTGCATATCTTTCATAACAGAGAAATGGTTAAAATATGTGTAAACTTAAACACTCACCACTTCTGGGGCATTGATGACTCCTGTGTTGTAGCCAAACTGCAGCATGCCCAACACTGCGGCAAGAATTGCATATGACAGGAAGAACGTCAGTCCCTGCAACATAACAATATTTAACCTATGAGCACTTTTATACAATGAGCAGAGTTCTGCTGAACCTGTGACAGTGATGACAACTACTTCAGCTAATTCAGCATGTCAAGAGTGCTGGAACATTCAGTTCTATTACAACACCAGCATGAAGTCCGTTGACTGTTCAACTGAAAACCATTGTGGATATCAATATCGTTAATGAATTTGAAGCATAGAATTTACTGACAAAACAACATCTATGCAAATGCAACAATTCTGTGCCAATAATTCAATTCAATTCTATTCAATTCTTTATTATTAATGTGCCGAGTCAACAGCCACAAGGCCAATTAATAATAATAATAATAATAATAATAATAATAATGTACCTAATCTCGGTAACTTGAAAAGTACTGCAAAGACAGCTACATTCATAATATACTTAATTTAACAAAAAACACTACATACTATACAATGTTGCTATCCAGGGGTGTCAAAAGAAATGTTTTTGCCAAATACTGATTCAATCATACTTTCCACTTCAATCTACTGATCCTATTTATAACTAACATCAATTCTGACAGCTAATATACATAATGCACAGGCATGATAGAATAGTCAAACATTACCCTTTGTATGTATGGATTCTTTAATGATATGGCTCATGAGTTCCTTTACTACAGTTAAGTTGGATTCATTACTTTATGTAAACTGTACTGGTTGGCACAAGCAATGGTGCTCAAAGAATAATGGCAAAAATGGTTTCAAAATATCTGTATGAAACTCATATACAATGTGTAGAACATACCTGAGTACTTGCAAAAAAAAGATTCAATCAGTTTCATTAATTCACTACACAGAAAAATATTTTTCATGCTGAATGTTAAAAATGGGGATATCCTTCATAATTTAATTATATTATATATATGGACAAATACCGTCTTAAGTGCAACAATTTTATTGTAGTTTTTACTTCTTTTTATACAATTTTACAATTTTATACAATTAGAAAGACTNTATTATTTTTATTTACATGGACATTGTATATAGACCCCTTCTTCTTGGATTATGGCTTCAATCTGTCTTCCAGTGGTGATAGCTGACAGATATTTTATGATATAAAAGGTCACAATCAGTTCCTTGTTGCAGTAACTCCAGAAGCTGTAACAGTTCTCTGACATAAGTAGGTCCTGCAGTAACTCCTGTTCCAAACATTAATGCATTTAGATCTTGAGAATTTTGTGGAAATTTTGTGAATTTGACAAATTCGCATGTACACTCATTACTCACTGTCAAATTGCGGGTACTATGGATGTAAAAATGCCTGCTTTTAATGTTAAAAATGGAAATTATTATTCTCTGTAATGTATGATTAGGTACATTTTACACAACCTGTATGAGTTTCATTCCAATCTGTAGAGCCATTATTTCTTACCATTACAAAAATATCACTTCCTTGCACTGACTGGTATTCACATTTACCATAATATGGATGAGACATGTGTTAAGATGAATGAGGTGATTAAGGGCCCTGGTTTCAGACAAATGTAACATGAAAAAATATGCATGCTTGTAGCATCTCTAAAATCAGACTTACATCTCAAATAAGAAATTGAATGTGTATATAATAAAGATTACAGTTTACTTACCTTTTAATATCTCAATTTCATAAAGATTATAGTCTTTTGGGATATTACACCATGTTTTTGGTAGACTGGTACCATCATTTCAAAGGAACCTGCTGCCTCCATCTTCAGGGTAGAAGAAAAGTGATTACTGGTAACAATCTACCTGACTGCATGTGTTCACATCCCAGAAAACAGTAACCCAAACCAGTGGTTCATAACATACTGCACACTCAGAGACACCTCACCCCTCTACATGACACAGTCACCATGATGTGACTAGCACAGATTCCCATACACAATTTCTAGTGCAAAATATATGTTATACCATTATTCCAGTTAAAGAGATTTTGTAAAATATTAAAAATACTCACCACAGTATTTTTTTTCTACGAGTTTACTGTAGAAAGACAAAAACAATCTCGTGCACTTTTTTTGGCCAGGCCACTTGGACCCCTATGGATCCACAGACCACACTTTGAAAACCACTGACCTAGCCCGGTGTTTTCCAAAACTAACTTCACTACAAGATTTATTTAAACACAATCTTGTTAGTCCAACAAATTTCATGGGTATAAAAAGAATATTGTACAATATTTCTCCCTTAATTGTGTAAAACACTTTCTTGAAGCCCCAGTTCTTCATGAGTATCTGACAAATTCAAAACATCTGATCATTAGTTCACATATTTTGCTTAAATCCAAACTGATGATCCCCAGCTAATCTTCAGAGAAGAATGTTGGCTATAACTGATGACAGTGACATTCAACAATACTGGCTGTGATTAGCTCCATCACTTAATATATAAATACATAAAACAACGCATTCCTTCCAGTGCCATGGAAGTTGTTCCTTAATCGAAATAAAATTAAGCATTTTACATAAAATATTTCATTCAATTCCATAAATTAAAAAACAATTATTTTATTTTGGTAAATATAAGAGTTTATAGAAATCATCAAGTAAAGTGGTAGCCATTGTTTTGTGGTCCAAAGGCATTGTTATACTTCCAGGCTTCTATCTTAATCAAAGTTCTTAACATACTTGTTCATTGTCGACGCTACATTTCAGAAGGTCAGACAGATATGACCTGCTTATATGGCAAAGTTTCAAGCAGTGGCGGCTCGTAGCTAAAATTAGTGGGGGTGCTGCTCCAGAAGCGCACAGTTCCATACAAAGATTTGGCATCTGACATTAAGCTTAAGGATTATATATTGTATTGTACAAGTATAAAGAAAGAATTAAAGAAAAAAGGACTCATCATATAAATGTTATCGATAATATCATGTGGAAATTGGGGGCGCTGCGGTTCCGCAGTGCCTATACACGGGCTGCCCCTGGTTTCAAGACTCACATAACAGTGTGTGTCACTAAAATACAAGAAAAGACGAATATGGAATACACTGTAGGCAGAAAATGTTTTGCATTCAGCAGATCCTGCAGTTTGCTTACTGCCAGGGAAAAATCCTGCACAGTACAGTTCACGGCAAAGACAAAGCTTCAGTTACTACAGCATGAAGATGATTACTGTTTTCTGGGATGTGATGTTGTGTAGTCTGGCAGATGGACACCACTGTTTCAGAGGAATACTCTGTCTCCATCTTCAGGGTAGATGAGTTCTAGAAGATATAAGAAGCATTCCTCCAAAACAGTGGTAACAGCCTATGTGGTTACACAGCATTACATCTTCATATTCACAGCTGCAAGCACCTCAAACCTCACAGAATGGAAACTGCTGTGCCAACTGAGGCAGCAGCAAATACAAAACTATCTCCATTAGCATGCTCCTCTGTCAGGTGTAAATGAAAACGTATCATATTCTACCAAACATGGTTCAGAGGTACTGTGAACAAATTAAAATACAAAACATACAGAATAATATAATTTATTTGAAACAAGCTTTGATTCTCAAAAACAACTAAACATCATATGCATGCTCTGCACTTACGGAAAGCAATACAAAGTTTCACTTGATGAAGGGGTACTTTGTGTGATGACAAGCACCCTCTCAGTGTCTCCTTCACGCTGAGTCTTCCAGCATGCGTACATCAACAAGCATCATGAAAGAAACAACATTCTACCATGCACTCAAAAACCTGCAACATAATGCCTTCTGCTGCTGGAACTTGCACACACCTGCTCGAGGAGGCGCAACTTGCGACGATGGCTCTGCTCTCCGAGCCGGTCCACGTACTCGCGTAACTCCTCGATCTCCTCCTTCACCTGCTGCACTGTGTCGAGCTCATGCTTGATGGCCACCATGTCTCGTTTCACCTCGCTAACCTCGCTCTGGCACGACTCCACCGACTTGGTCAACTCCTGCAGCTGCGTCCGGATCTCGCAGAGTGCTACCGTTGTCTCCAGCTGCCGGTCCCCGCGCTGCAGTTCGTCCAGCTTCGCGCTCAGGTTCATGCTCATGACGCTCACCTGCTTCTGCAGACTGCAGCCATGCATGGTCCTAGGTTACACACTACGCATGGCCCTCGCGTTAGTCACGACAGTGTGGGCCCCAACATGACATGACTCTACCAAGTAATTGCTTATGGCAACACAGTCTGTCCTTTACACAGCGGTCCACAAACGTCGCAAACATTGCTACAGGAGGCACAATACGATAAGTACACTTCACATAGTGAGGCATTCTACAATCTTAGGTTCTCTCCCAAAACACTCACAAGAATCTAAAACACAGATTCCTGGTAGAGTGTTTTGCCATTTCAGCACAACGCTATGTTACAGTAACATCCTACAAGGCTAGTTCAGATGTTAAGTCTCTTCATTTTTATTGTCAATGAAACTGGAAATGCAATTATGCTGGCTACACAATTCCTATGATGGTAACATTGTCATGAAGTTGTACATGTACTCCATTAAACAACACTCACACAAAGGAACCAGTTAAAAATCCGTGCAAACTCAAGTAGGATAAGCTTCAGAACTCTCCACCAAAAACTGTCAGCCCTATTCATTTGCAAGCTGTGGCAATCTCCATGCATAAAACAGAGTGGCACATGTGTTATCATATTGCCTGAGCAAGCAGCATAATGACACATCTTGTGAACACTGACAGCATTGACCTGCACAACAATTAGAGCAAATCTGATCGATTTACAACACTGCAGATATCAAAAATAACTGAAGGAGACGGGGTAGGAGAAATGTGTGTCACCAAGAAACCATCATCTGGAGCCACCTGCAGGACAGGAATGAAAAAGCGGGGGGAAGGATTGGTATGTAGTAAACAGTTGGGTTTAAACGAAGATTTAGCATATAAGAAAATTATAAATTTTACAAATATAACAGGGTTAAAAAATACGGCCGTGTGCAAGGGACACAGAACTCTGGTGCACTTAATATTATGCAACATTCATGGCAAGGATCACAATGAAGGGTAATTATGGATAAAGGAGAGGATTAAAAACTTCTGTCTCCTGAGGTATAACACCATGCAGTCTGCTGAAAACTAGAAAGAAAGGCAAAGAAGGCTGACAGCAAAGCTTTACTTGCTGCCTGCTTCCTGCTTGTTTCTTGCTTGGCTTAACCTTCAGCACTGGAGATGGAGGTGTTATGTACCTTCGAAACACCCGCAGACATTCAACAGACTGAGTGGCGTTACATCCCAGAAGAATATCTTCATGACCACGAGTTTGAAAACCTCAAATCCTATGTAGGACAGCATATCTGGCAACTTGAGACACCATGCCCTGACACCGTTTGTGTCTTTTGATACCAGTCAGCTTCCAAGGTTACATGTGCCTGTACAAGACCCAAAGTAAAAATTCATGATTCAACAACTCTAAAACTGATACATGAATGTAAATGGGTCACATGATAAACTCAGAGGTAAAAACAATAATAGAACACTGTAAGCGACAAAAATTCCAGAATCTATGAGGGTCTATCACTGAGATCTTAAAATCGGTATCATTACATTCAGGGAACAGGCATAAATGATGGAGATTCCAGATATCAGAAATTCAATAAAGGGACCTATTAAGAATATAAAATAGATGCCAAAAGAATACATATATACAACTGATTCTTGCAAAAGGTTTCAGCAGGATGGCACAATGGTGTACCATCCTATGCAAAATATTCTGTTGTGGCAGTACTGAACCTGCTCCATCACAAGGAGGGTTTCAGCATGTGTTATACATTCTTGCAAGTGCACTTTTGAAATTTTCACAGAATTTGTCATGGGTAACAGACTTTCAAACAGTGAAATCACTGGTATGAAGCGCTCCACCGAGCCTTCTGAGATATGACTCTGTGTAGTCTGACAAAAGTTCACAGGTATTTTAGAGGAAAGTATTGGCTCCATCTTCAGGGTTGAACAGTAAGAAATGCAAGCTACTGTTAAGAAGTAAACAAAGATCAGAGCTATGCTTCAGAATCGAAAAGTACACCAAGCAAATCACATGCGAGAAGCAGAGCTTGGCCTGCTGCTTGAATGGCTCACACTCTTGATCCTGAAGATGGAGGCAGTAAGTTCCTTCAAAATGTGTTGAACTTCTATCACATTACACCATATCACATCCCAAAATACAGTACTCTCCATAATCACCACTGTCAGAACCTCAAATCCAGCATGTAACACAGATGTCTTAAAATGTCAAAAATAGTTCAATTGACTTGGGTAGTCCAGTACCATTCAAGCTGTGATACCAACGGTATGACAGTTTGTGGTATGTTTCACATGGTACAGTGTCTGTAGTCTGAGCCAGAAGGGAGGGTAATTTTTAATGTGGCATGAAAAAATCTCTTGAAAACCTGCCCAATGCTAACTGCATGCAATACATACAGAAGAATGATGCAGCATGCTTGCCATCTGAGGCAGTGAACTGCAGCTATACTGGTGGAGAAATGGAAGAACCCAGATTAACCTATGAGGCTGCAATGTCCTAATAAATTACAGTTCACACAACAAATCAACTCACTAAACTAATGCTCATAAAACTGTGTGAGAGTAATGTTTTCTTTTGTTTGCATTTATTTTGTTTTATTTTATTGTTTGGGTTTTATTTTTCCCCATTGTTTTTTGTGTCATACATTAATTTTACCCTCCAAACAAAAAAGAACAGCAACAAACAAACCACAACAAGAAACTGAACAAACCAAAAATATAAACAAACAAGAAAATAACAGATCTTCCATCAACAATTTTTTTCATGACATAACAGTACAGGTGAATCAAGCAGTCACCTGCAACAGCACTATTTCAAGGCCAGCAGACTTCAAATCCTCCTTCCTTTTTTAGTGTTTCCTAAAAAATTCATTACTGCTGCTATTTTGATCATAACAAGAGCTGGGATGGCTCAGCCGGTATGACTGTGGGCTCGATGAATGGGATTCAATTCCCAGCAGGGACAAAAATTTTATCTCTATTCCACAGCACTCAGACTGCCTCTCGGGCCTGCCCAGCCTCCTACCCAATTGTTCCCCAGGAGTAAAGCAGCTGGAGGCGTGAAGCCAACCTCTCACCATCTAGTGCCAAAGCCAAGAATACTGGAGCTATGCACAGACTCCACCCACACATTTTCATTGGGTGGTGCCTAATAAAGACTATGGATAACTTTACATTACCTATTTTGTTCATATCATGACTTATGCTGAATTTTGTCCCTGCACACCAACATGAAAGTGAATTGTAACGGAAATATATCCAAACACATCTTCCTTCACATAAACTCTGCATAACGGTTACAGTACGCAGTCACTTTCTGTATAATATGCTGAGCAAAACGTTAGAATGATAAGCAGTGCACTGACACACATGCAATGCCCTTCTGGCCAACAACATATGTCAACAGAGGAGCATGTTCTTATAATGAGCCAGGCTACGTACATTTCATGCACAACGATCCTGTCTCGAATGCAGTTCCTCCCAGACAGCATCACAACTAACCCAGCAGAAAAATACAAAAACAAACAAGAAATCACAGTCACTAAGGAGAAGCAGAGATTACACAAGTGCTACAAAAGGATCATGTCTACCCTCTGTTTGTATGGCTCAGAATAAAGTGATTAGCATGGAACATGATCTTAACCTATCAGCATGGAGCATGCTTCCCATTTCTTAAAAATCACTGCAAATGATCACATTGCTGACTGTATAACAACATAATGTGTTAAAAAGTCTGGTATACTTTATTCTGTGCCATGCTGTAGAGGAGGTCATTAAGCTACTGACATACTGAGCCAGTTCTCTTTCCCTTTCACCACCCTGTCCATTTCTGATCCCGAAAGAACGACCTTCTTGACCAAAATATCAAAGAAAAGAAGATTGAAAAGGAAGAGGAAGAAGAAAACAGAATAAGAAAAATAAAGAAAATTTAAAGGTAAAGGTAAAGCTATCCCTGTAACAGGCCATGGAGCCTCGTATTGTGAGATGTTGAGGCTCCAACATCTTCTAGACAATCGGCTCACAGATGGCGGTGAGGTTGTCAATCTTAAGCCCTAGCTGGCTGCCGTTTATCTCCCAGGAAGATTCCTGGTACTCATTTCTGTTAGAGGCTGGGTTGACCACAGGGCCATAGTGCAGCTGCAAGGATTAGGTCACTTGAAAAAGCCAATGACCTCATCAGAAATACAACCTGCAACCATCCAGCTTGTAGCATCGTGCCTCAGTCAAATACAAAGAAAATATGGAGAAGAAAAGTTGAAGATGACGATGAAGGAAGCACAGGAGATGCAGAAGAGGAAGGAGAAGGAAAAAGAGAATGGGGAGATGGAAAGAGGACAAAGAGAAGGCAGAGAAGGGGAAGGAGGAAAGAAGTGAAAGAGGAAGGAAGAAGATGTGATGGAAATTGAGTTTAAGAAGGAAGAAGAATACAATTTTTCTGTGATGTCATGCTGTGCTGTCTGATAAAAGTTTACCAAAATTTTAGAGGAACACACTGTCTCCATCGTCCGGCTTGAAGAATTAGCTGAGCAAGCACACAAGCAATCAGCAATCTGCCAGCAGAGTTCACAACCCTGAGGACAGCGCAATTCACGGTCAATCCTGCAAGGATCTCAGACCTCACAAGAAAATAAGAAAAGGGAAAAGAGGAAGCAAGAGATATAAACACAACAATGCTTTTTACACCATCTCCATTGTTGCATTGTTCAGAAACACATCACTCCACTAAATATTCAGCTCTTTACAACACATCTTGGGTCTGAAAGTGATACGACTCACAGTAAAATTTGTTCGCTTAGCACAGAACATGCTAAAGTGGTAGCATATCCATGAACAACTGAGGCTGTTTGCAGTCCTGAATATCAGACTGTGACACTCAGAAAACTATATAACATATATGGAAGAGTAAGTAAATAGGTCACAAATGGAAGTAAAACAGCTGTAATGGAAGTAATAGGTTTTCTATATGCTATCACTAGGTAACAGCACAGTCCACCTTCATGTCAGTCTAAGTAGCAGATGCACATGTGCATGTTCAG